TTATTCTCATTTTAATTGATGAAAACAAATATGTATTAAAGGAAAATATAATGTGTGTTTTGTAAATATTAAGGTGGTTCCGTATCAAACTTAATGGTTTCCAAAGCACACGAATTTCTACACAATTTCTTTTACCCTTTTATAATCGATGGCGAAAAAGCAACATGCCAGGCGAGAAAGAGTAAAGCCCGTCGATAGGAACTTTAGCCCGTCTGCATAATTTTTTATCGCTTCGTATAGCCCGGCCGTATGACTTTCTCCGCATTCTACAGCCAGCTATGTGATTTTCTGTAGCCTTCTTTAGCCAGCTATAAGAATTCCTATGGTGTTTTGACACGCAGCTCTTATCCCCAATTTTTACCAGGGGACAAAGGTTACATAATTATTTTGGGGATTTCTGCACCAGCTTTACAATTGCATTACAAGGGGAGAGAGGGTGCCAAAAAATCAGAGAAATCACGTTACGTAGTTTACAGCATACGTTTCAATTGATGCTAATTGGAACTGCATGTAGGTAAATTTTCGTGAGTGGATTTGGTCGATTTTTTCGACCAGATCGGCAGGATTGCATACCAAAGGTGAAAAACACTCTGATGCTGTCAAGAACTAAACTCAGCTGCTTGATGAATTTTGGCCAACGTTTGCATCCATATACTTTTCATGTGGGAATTTTGGATGTGGTATGTCGTTGCTGCTGGCATGAAAACCAAATGTCGTAAGCGCACCATCATACAGTGGATCGAGTCAATTAGAGAGGTCGGACATGAAATTTTTTACTAAAATTGCGAATTTTGATGTTTATTCCGTCACATTTTAAACTGTAAGGGGTGCTTCTAGAAGAAAATTTTACGAGAAAACCAACGAAACCACTTACAGAACCTCACAGTTTTGTACAAACGGAGTTATAAGCGTTTAAAGTTTCCAAATTGTGTCCGTCCTCTCCTATTGACTCGATCCACTGTGCGTTGCCCGGAGGGAATTTCGCTCTGTTGTAACGGAGGTTGGCAGTATGTTGAAAACTTCGACCAAATCCACTCGCGAAAATTTGCCTCATGAAGCGAATTTTATTCAAAGTTCCGAACCTCGTTGGGAAGTTCTGTCCCGGTTGGTCTCATCAATCACCAACACAACCGTTGTTACCAGATTCGACGAATCAGATCCGTTGGTTTTCGATAGGTCAAACCTTTTTTATAGTACCACCTCACGAAGTGGCACTAAAATCACGCACCAACGTTGCAATTCGTTAATCACTGAATCGGACGTTCCGAACTCAAACAGAGTGGCAGCTCGGAGGTTCGGGCACAGAAGTAGTACTGAACCTCTAAATAGAATTCGCTTATGCCATCTTGAAATGCCTACATAATTTGAAAAAACACCAATTAAAAACTGTTAGTTATGAGTTCTACGTCTGCTGACACCCATACCAGGATATTAATGACCTATTCTACTATGCTAAAGAAGAACACCGTATGATATTTAGGATGTCACTAATACTCACACACAACATCCCATAGGATGAAAATGAAATGTCTAGAGAACTCGTGAATATTTTTCCAATATTTCAGAGAATTTTACACGTTAGGGGGGAAGAGAATTGTATACGTTACGGGGGGAAAGAGAAGGGAAGGAGGGCTGTAGGATCGGAGTGCAGAGTGTTAATTCCAAACAGGAAAAGCGCAACTGATGACATCAAGGTCTTAGGGCAAACTATTGCGCAAAAAATTTAATTGAATTATAGATGAAACAAAAATTGATCCGTTTGTATGTGTAGGTACCCTACCGCATGTCATGTTTCGTACGTCACCGAACCAGTGCGTTGTGAAATCCTGCTGAGAAAAAATGAAGCTCAGAGATTCCATTGTCCTTTTTTGCATGTTCTGGAAGAGGGAGAGGAAGTAAGTAACAAAAAACATACTCGTGCATGTTTTCGGAAATTCATGTGATGTCATGGAAGAAACTCTATCGAACATGTGAACATGAATTTCACAATTGATTTTCAATAGGATTCTACAGCCAGTCGACGATTTTAGTGCAGTTGAATTAATTAAAAAAAAAAAAAAAAAAAAAAAAAGAACATGTAGAAAAATCCCCACCTCTTCGCCAACGACACTTACTTGGGGAAATTGAGTTGGAAAATTTTAATGGTATATTCCCGGAATTTTCAATTTGTGAACATGTATGACGGTTTATTGACAAGTTTGCAGTTGATGCGTGTACCGTCGCTTACCTGAGGGAGAGGTTGGAAAATATATATAATTGGAGAGGTGAAAATCAGAGGAGCTTCACTGCATTGCAATGTTTCAAAGTCTCACCAGAAAGCTTCAATTTTTCTTCATTAACGGTTGCATGTCTTACATCGAAAATTTTAGTTAATACTTACCACAACTAAATGTTCTTTAATAGAGTTCATAAAAGTTATTTTTGACTCTAATTACCTATAATTTTTGGAACTTCTTGGCTTTTTTTGCAAAATGGTGTGGACCCAGCACCATTTCTTCGTTAAATGTTCTAATTTTTAGTCCTTAGGGACCAAACTTTCAAATTAGCGAGTCCTACATCGTTCGTGGCATTAGTGGCTAAATACTCTATTCACATTGTTTCTGACTCGTTCCTACCAGTTCCCCTTCAATATCGCGATTTAGGCAATGTGAGTGGCTCATCGCATTTCGGCCACAGTGGCGTAGCGTGAAATGCGATGTATCGATTGTTATGCCATTTAAACTTATGGTAAAGAATCGATTATTAAGGTGTTCGCTGCGAACACCCTGTCTATCGATTCTTTTCCATAGGTTTAAATGCATAAAAATCGATATATCGCAATTCACGCCACGCCACTGTCGGCCACTATCACTTGGTTTATTCATAACTGTAGCGATTACCCAGGCACTTGCAAGGCCCCAATGGAAAAATTTTTATTGAACACATCTCAAAAACAAGAAAAAAGGTTTGCGTCGGAGGGAGATTTCAGAAATCATTTCTCCGAATTTTTCTGGAGAGATTGAGAGGTAATGCCTAATACATGACACTTTTTTCTAAAACACGTCGAGCACCTCGATCTGGATTTTTTTTTCTTTCTGTCAACTTGAAATATGACACTTGATGTCATTTTTCAACTTAAAATGGCATTTGGCATCATGAAAAAAAATCTCAGGTTGAGCTGTTTGGTGTTTTTGAGAAAAAAATATCATGTATTACCCATGAATCTCCTAAAAAAAAAATCTGAAGAATTGATTTTCGAAATCTATCTCCGGAGCATACGTTTTTCTTTGTTTTCGAAATATTTTCAATGCAAAATGAACCCCGTGTTAATTTCCATATGGCCCCCGCAAGTGGGCATCGGTCGGATTGGAAAATCAGCCAATCAGAGACGACTCGTGAAAGTATAGGGGGTGCCGCTCGGTCCGCAATTCGTAATGCGGCTCTTGCTTTTTCTCCGAGTTTACCACTGAATTAAGGGTGCAAAGTTTCACTGATACCAGAAGTATCTCTTTTACGAATCCCAAGTTGCATTATCATCTACTTTCGAGGTGGCGCTCATCAAGAAAATGCCTACTTTCTAGATAGAACCATTTTCTTGAAAGAAAATAGGTATAAAGTAGATCTAGAAAATTGACACAAGGAAATAGAAAGAAAATACATTTTTTCCTTGCATTTTCTTAAAAGAAAACATTAAGAAATTAGCTAGAAAATAATTCTACTTTCAATAAATTTTCTATCTGTTTTTCAAATGGGAAGTTGACAGAAAGTAGAACTATGAAATAGATCTATTTTCTTTGGTCAGACTTTTGACTCGCAATGTTTTTTCTTTCTATTTTCTGGATAGCTCTCATCTTCTTTGTTTTTTCTAGAAATTTTCTTAATATTTTTTTTCTAGAGAAAAATTCTATTTTGCTACTTGGGTACCTATACGATTCACAAAGAAATATTACAGAAGCAATATCAGTGGGTTGATGCTAAACATTTTTTCAAAATATCTGAAGTTTTACAGCTCTCTGTAGATCGGGCACAGTTTCTGTGCTCGCGTGAAAGCAAAGAGATGAAGACAAAGAAAAGAGAGACGGGTAATTCACTATTTATTTTGAAAGATGCGCACTCAGTGCGACGATTACCTACTTACACCGTGCTTGCAATGAACTCGCGCTCTGCTTTGCGCTAAGAAGTGATTGCAGCGATGATGAAAAAACGCCTGCAATGTTTAGGGTATGCAACAACGCTAACTCAAGAAAACAACGAGGAATGCATCTCCGCACAGCAAACTCTCACTCAATTTTTTTTAGAGAAATGGAGCTTACAACAGGTGGTGTTTTTTTTAATTTTATGTTGATAATCCTCATCCTAAATATAAAATAGTCGAAGGTTTCAAGGTAGACAAGCCTTTCTGTCATAGGTATATCTCTTTTCTTCATCACAAGATCCTCCTTTAAATCATTATTCCTCTGTTTTTGAATTTACAAAGAGTATCGACTTGATCCTAATATTGTTCCTCAAATCAGAGGACGGGAGGAAGCACCTATTAAAGAACTTTCTGCGGCATTTTTCCATTACCTATTGATCGGCTTAAGCTAAAAGTTTGACATTGATATGACTTTAATTGGCAGTAGATGATTTTTTACTTAAATTTATTCCTTCACTTACAATGACTTTGAATCTGAGAAACTTTCAAGAAATACTGATAATTCCCTTCTATCTTTAAGTGTTTTTGTTCTTTAGAATGTTAAAGTTGGGATAATTAAGAGAAGCAACCTCTCCTCATTTTAATTCTCTTTCCAGAACCACTCTCTTTTTTTCAGTTCAAGAGGTGCGATGGTATTAGTCTCCCATGACTCAACAAAGTACCTAACATTAACTTTTAGTGAACTTTAGTTTTAGTTTAATTTATAACTTTTAGTTATGTCTGAATTAATAATTTCATACACTTACCTACACCTTAACACTGATGAAGAACAATTTTTTGGAATTTGTGGTAAGGTTAGTGAAGAATGACAGCGAGTACACACAAGAAAAATTAAATGAACAAAGTTTATTCCAACCGTATTAAAATCAGTAAAAAATAATTTATATACATATAACAAGAAACAAGGAAAAGAAAATTTACAGTAATATTGACTTACAAAAGTTTCACTCGATGCAAGAACAATTATTGCTATCAAGTCATAAATTGAATACAAAGTTTTCATATTCAAACAAATTGTGCATGCAAGAGTACCTTTGAGGCCCGTTATTAAATTAATCAATCACAGCTTAAGACAAAGAAACACTTTGGTGCTTTCTTATTTTCACGAGCTTAAAATATGACGCTACCATCTAATTTGTGTATTTTCTAAAAGAAGCACACTATAGCTTTTTATTAATGTAAATGTGAACATAAGCTTTCTAATTTTTAGAATTATTAGACCTATTTCAGTCTTATCAATTACAGAAAAACTCATCTTGTTTCTTTACAACAAAAATAAATAACGTAATCTAAAATTTTACAGATACTGATTAAAAAAATAGCATGGTTATACCTATTCATCTTGGATTAATGCTGACGAATATAATAAGCTTCATAACTCAAGAAAAAATTTAGATGATAACTTAAATTATCCTCAGTCCCTCATGCTGATACAAAGTAAAGAAAAAAAATTGTAATTTTCAACTTAATTGTAATTTATTTAAAGTGTGGTTTAATTGAATTTTCTGCTTTGGGGGTAGAGAGTGACAAGATAATAGAGATTCCAACTGAGGTATCCATTCTTTTTCGACAAAATTTTTATCAATACACTCATTGACTCGTAATAAAATTGCAGAGATACTTTCAATATTATCTTTTGCAGAGAGTATTACCTCACTCAAGACTGATTTTAATGAAAAACCGCAGTTTAAATTCTCACACGCTTTTATAAGTTCAACTACCGGAACAGAAGTCAATGAGACCAGAGCTGAGAAAAATGCATTTCGTAAGCCAGTTGGATCTGTATGATGCAAATCTAGACTTTGAAAGAATACTAAGTGGTCTGGAGTATCAGCTTCACTCTCCAAACACTCTTCTAACAAATTTTCAATGACCTGCAAACTAGAATAACTCGCTTCCAAGTAATTTAACGTTGCAGAGAAATCAAAATCACTTCTTTTTTGACAGACTGAAATTATACTCTCTAGCAAGCTCAACCTTTCAGAAATAGTATTGTTTCTCACACACTTTTCAGAAAGCAATGAAGTCTGCACAAACTTAAGGGCATCTTCAGGCGATATCTTCCCGATGTAGTCAACACACTTTGCCACTCTATCAACTTCACTGGAACCATCCTCGGTATGGTAAATCTTATTAATTAAACATGAATATAGTAAAGGAAATGATACACTATCTTTGAGGAAACTTGGTAAAACTTTAATTAATTTCAGTAAACTATTTACCGTCTTTTCACTTAAGGCAGGTTCAAAAACGCTTACAATGGATTCAGGCTTTTCTATCAAGTTCTTATAGTCAATTAAAGGGGAGGTAGCTTTGACTTTCTTTATTAATTTCACATGTTCCTTGGCTGAAAGATTGTAAAATTGGACATCCTCAGCAAACAAACTTAACACGGAGAAATAAGCTACTAACCCATTATGATTTGTTCCATCTGTAGGTTTGTAGTACCTTTCTTCTAATTGACTTAATACATTGGAGCAATCCTCTTTTAACAGTTTTAGAAGCAGATCATTTCCAGAGATTTTCTCGACTAAGTTAGGAACGCAACTGAATAAAAGGGAAGTTACATGACTAACAACGATCTCCGTTAAAGAGACACCATGAGTTGCTCCTAGCTGTATCGCTAGATAGAACTGATTAGAATCTTGGCTCATGGCAAGTCCCAGGATAGAGTCTAGTTTGTAAGTTTCATCAGTGGCAAATCTTGCTGTGTTAATGCCACACTCCAACACTTCTAATTTTTCAGACTCTTTCAAATTGTCTAGAGCCTTTTTGTACTTGAGCATCAACTTGTAGCACTCAAGATCTTGGAGGTGATTTTTTTCTGCTAAGTAGACGATGTTCTTGGGTGTAGTGGGCAACTTGAAGTCTGGTAATAGTGAGCAAATACGAAATGCAAAAATTAGGACTGCAAATTGAAGTGTGCACATAGTTTTGGGTAGACTGTCAAGTGTGTTAACGATTTCATCCACGCCTCTCATGGAGAGTAAAAAGAAAAGACTAAGAGGGAGATCGTCTGCAACAGACAGCTCCGCACAATTCGCTAGAAGTTTGTTGAAACTGTTTTCCATTGAAATGTCAAGAGTGCTTGTTTTGAGTTCAAATAGGCATTGTGTCAGTAATGCCAAATTCATATCAAGGGTCGAATTATTAGTCTTGGAAATAGGAACACAGTCACACTTGGTGTGCACCGTTTCGTAAAAGTCTGGAATGCCTTGCCGTTTCATGTCATCATTATTTTCTTCCTCTACAACTTGCGAAATATCTTTGCTTGAGGTGTAGTCCCAAAAAACCTTACTCAGTTTATTATTGAACAGAGTTGATGTCAAATTTAAAACTTTATCCGTGACAATACTTTGCAGAAATTTAGTCTCTGAGTGGGAGATTTCATTACCACTTTCAGCAACTGCTTCTGTCATTTGATCTTGAATTGAAGATCGCAGAATTTTATACTCAAGCCGATGCTTGATTTGAATGATTTCCTCGATAAAATTTGGAGGACAATAGGCTAGTGAAAAAACTGCTAGCTTCTTCCGGGTCTCAAGATCCTTGTACTCCTCACAGTTTGCCACATTCCTGCAGATTTCCCACCCTAATGGTTGCTCTTCTCTTATAAAACTCAGACACTTTTGACCACAAAAAGAATAATTTTTGGCCTCGAATGAGACTTCAAGACATTTCAACAGAATTGTTGCTTCCCTCAGTCTTGAATCAGTTTCGTGTATCCTGAGGAGTTTTGCTAGTTTGAATAATTTGTCTGTCTTACAATAATTGTCAGGACGACTTTTTAAACACTTATCAATCATTTTCATCCGGTCAGGGCACTGACGCACCTGCATTGGCAATAGAACTACCTTGAACTCACTCAGTAAATGAACAGCTGCAATTAAATCTAGCTCATCACAAATGTCTTTGTTTTCCTCTGGCATTAATCTGAGGCATACTTTTGCTAAGACCATGGAATTATCTGAGACCGTTGCTGAGTTATTAAAGTAACTCCGCGCGGCTTTCAAAACCAGATCAAGACTGGAGGCAAAAGTGATTTTCCGCTTATGTTCGTCTGATGGGTTACAACACAAAACATTGGCAGCGAACATTATACTACTACTGTGTTCATTATTAAGTAATATGGAAGCATAAATTTCATAGCAATTCTGTTCTGATAAGCAAGAAAATAAATGTGAATGAAGCTGCAGTAAATCAAGAAGGAGCTGATTCCACTCAGACGGAGAGAGATTTTTCCCACTTAAGTTTTTCCCTTTTCCAATTCCTGATAATAAGGAAAAGACAGCTTCATGATCATCTTTGATCTTATGAATGTGTTGCAAAGACATCTTGATATGATGTTGAAGCAAAATCTTCAAACACATGATCTCAGCCTCTAGAGTCTTGATAGAATTCCAAATATTTCTGCTAGCTTCTACAGATTTGTTTAAATCGTGTTGTGGCAGAAGGGAAACGATGAATGAAACTCTGTCGATTTCATCTGTGTTTTGGCAATTGTAAATGCACTCTATTATTAAGGACACAAAAGCTTCAAGTGATGAGAATATTGATGTCTTGTCCTCAAATAAATCAAACATCATTATAAACTGAACGAATTTTACTATGTATTCCAGATTTTTCACACTTAGGTCAAGGAGATACGATGATATTAATTTCATTTTTGAGCCTGACTGATGCACCTCACAGCGGTCCAAGAAAGGAATTAAAAGCTGTTTTAAATTGGCTATGAAGTTATCTGGCGTTGTTGTACTCATCAACAGTTTCAATTTTTCTTGCATCGTTTTTTTCTGCAGAGACTCAAGAGTGATATCTTCAATGTACACCTCGTGTACCAAAACGTCAAGAATCTCAAGCTCAAATTCAAGGTTATCAAGATCTTTGACTTGTTTTTCTTTGGCAATCCTCAACAAGACTAATGCTCTATCAACTAAATTTGTATTCTTCTCTATCGAACAGATCCGTCTGCGATACCACTGGTAAACAGCTTCAACCGTTAGATCTGATGGGTGTTCCGAGTTTTCAGCAGAAAGTACATCAATCTCACCAATAGATGCAAGTGGCTCCAATTCACACCAGTCTTTGTCTCTTATTTTTTTCCTTTTCCAATCAATCAGCTTGCCGTCTTTGCACTCTGGTAACAAAGACCGATAATTAGTTGCCCTAAGTGTTTCTGGTATATTGTCAAGAATATTGAGCCAAAACGGAATGGTTTCATCTCCATGATACGTCAATAAGGCATACACGGCATTTACGTCACTCTTCCTTGCATACTGAATAGCTGACTCTATAATAGACAGTTTCTGAAATTTATCGTACGTCTCATGATCATAAAGTGATTCGACTAAATTTGGTTCTTCAGCTGTGGATTCAAGGATTGATTGGTAAGTAAAAAGCCTATCAGAGAGTCTCAGAAGTTTCTTTCTAAAAGTAATCATCTGCTTGGCTTCTTCACTCAATTTGCTAACATCAAAAGTAGATAAGGAACCATCGATCGAGCCATTTGTAGACTTTGGATTTTCTTCATCCTTGAGAACGGCCAAGCGATCTGTGTACTTCAATCCAAAACTGATGAGCTCCTTGACTGCTGACAGAGTTTCGGGAACTCTTTCACAACATTCGTACAGAACCCATGTTTTTGAGTGGATCTTACTTAGAAAATTGTGGATTGATGAGACAGAAACAGGTGTCTTGCGCCACTGACTTTGATACACACGATCTGCATCCAAATTGTAAACTTCAGCCAAAGACAGAGCCTCTTCGTAGCTTTCACTCTCAATCTATAAACAAAAAGATGAAATTTTGGAGTCCTCTTCTTCGTTCAACAAGTTAATAATGAAGAGATAAAACTTTGAACAGTAAATTAACTCTATCCTTTGACAACCATTTAATTAGGACTCATTAACAAGTTACATGATCTTTTAGATTGTCCCTTTTTGTTCAAATTTTGAAAGAGAATTGAACATTCGTATAATACGTATATGCTTGCATCTCCAATTGCATTCTGTGAAAAGTCAGTTGTTTCCTTGCATCATCAAAATTTGCAGTATTTTGACGCAGTTTGTGTTTAATAAACGGTAAGAGTAGGGCTTTGTTACATGAGGCAGAAATTATAAAAACTGAGGTCAATAAAAGAGAGAAAATGGTTACCATCCTAGTGAAGAGTTCCTCTGGAGTGCGGCTGATGATAGCCAACATCTGATAAATTTTGTAAACTAATTTTGGTCTCTTCCTCTTTGGCTTAAATCTCTCTAGATCCGTGAAAAAGAAGCATGTTGACCGAATCATGTCGGAGCCTCTACTCCAAAGGGTGGATTTCTCCTCATCATCGCTGCTACTTGCCTAGGGGACAAATTGAAAACGAAAAATCAATAAAACTGAGGAGGCAAAAAACTTTAACTATGATAAATGTCCGTTTTTGGTTTTCAGATCCACGTTTATAGGAAGTATTCTTATCTGATCTCACGGAGGGGATTCCATAACCAGCTAACACTAATCATGTTTCTACTGTCATAATCTGCCAAAGTTATAGACATTTAGATTAGGGAGCATTTAGGTGTTAAATGACACCCTTCCTAACTACATACTGTGCAGGGGGGGGGGATTCCAAGTGTTGTTTTATATGCGCTTAAGAATTTTTTGTACTTTATCGTTATTTTTTTCATTCAGTTTTATCAAAAATAAAAAATTACCTAGGTTGAAAACTTTGAAAACAAATAATAAAAGAAAAACTGATTCACAACATAAATGCAACCAATCAGCAATGTGACCAGCTTATGATCCGACCAAATCTGAGTTTTATAGGTCCCTCTGAGAGAATTCACAATTGATAACTTGTGAGGTATGCTGCTCATGTTTGCAAATAAAACTTGACCATACAAGGGTAAAAAATGAAAAAACAATACTAACTTCTTCCTCATTATCATTGCTCAGTTTAGTTTTCAATGGGTGTATCTGACACTCTAATGCAAGAATCCCATTTTCACCACTGGTGGAGGATAATTGCGGTTGACGAGACAGAAATTCTGGTGATTCTCCCAACAGATTTTCCAATGTGTCCACGCAGCAAACCGTTACTGCTCCATTATTTCGTGCCACTGTCAAACTCTGAAAATTTAGGCAAAATATTTTCCTTCATCCAATTTTTACACCCACAAGATCTTCAAATTTCATTACTAAATTACAGAGATAGATGTGTCCGTCAAGAAATGGAGAGATGCTAGCTTCCGGAGGATCTCTACCATGACGGATTCCTGTGGCAGATAGGCGTCGCAGAGCGCCCTGGCGCGTCGTAAATTCATAATACTCAATTTTAAAGATTGTAACAAAAATAGGAAAATAAATCAAATTAAGTCAACTTAATTGAGTAAATAAAATCGCCAGCGACAATATTCAAATAAGACTTAAATAAAATTTATAAGTTCTAGTAACTTTTTTGATAATAATTACACCACATCAAAGATGTATGCAGATGTGATACATACAGATGTGTGCAGATGTGATACATACAGATGAGTGCTTTTCGTGATAAAAGAGAGGAAAATTAATTAAGTATGCTCCTACAAAATTTTGTTACTCTTTTTGTCACTGTCCATTTTTGCAAGCGAGGCAACTTTACAGAGCACGATCAATTCTAATCGGTATTACAATTTTTACTTCCGTTTGGATATTTTCCTTTCCATTTTGTAGGGGAAATATGGAATTTTTCAATTGTTCAGCTTTAAACAAGTCATAATGGAATAAAGTGGCAAAACCCTTAAACTTATTAACTTTTTCAGCATATTTCCTCATATTGAAGTTGAAAGTAAACGTTCGCATACAGTTAGGAAGATCAACTCCTATTTCTGATACCTACAAAGGAAATCAGTCTTAACTAAAATGCACAGACTCAAAAAAAATTCAAAGGGTATCTGCACTAATTAGAACGTTTGGTTAAAACTTCCATGAAGCTAAACATTGGAGAAATACGTAGGATTTTTGCTAATTTTGAAGAGGATAATTTCTTTTTACTGTTTGAATCTAAATTATAAAAAATGTATCTTAGTCTCCAAAACTGACTCAAAACATTCTCAATGCATAAAAAAACCTTTAAGTTCGATTAAAACATTTGAACAAAAAATAAGCTGAAAAATGGCTTAGTAAAAAGCTGGAGTGAATATGGGCAACTTACTTTTTCAGACCACCAGTTTATATCAACAGGATGAAATTCAGTGCTATTCTTCAATTGATCGGCTCCACTTTTTCGCTTATACATTTTATTTTCAAGGTTGAAATTGGGTTGCTCCTCTAGTGTCCATAACTTATTCAGTCTACAAAGGGAGGGAAAAATAAAGAAATGAAATGATGCGTTTTACGGCAATGTTAGGAGTGATTTTGAAATTACCAGATTTATAATGCGGTTATACACCCTTTAAGGTTCATAGTGTGAGCGACTGCCAGTGTTACCTATCAGTGGAGATTGAAGCAACACGGTCCAACTCGGTGGAGGCATGGCCGTGCTCCAAAAGTCTGCGCTCTGTAGCGTCTGCCAACATTGTTGATACCTTCGATTGGTTCATCAGACGGCAGCAGAGCCTTGCTGGAATTTGGAATGTGTCAATAGTGAGAAGTTAAGGAGCACGGTCCAACTTTGGGGTGAACGACGGCAATAGCAAGTTGCCTTGGCCCCTTGAGGACGCCTCGCCGGTAAGCCCGGCCCTAACTTACTTACACTTTCTAGGGACCTAAACAATGATGTAACTCATTCCTTGGACCGTTTTCCATCAAAATTCAAGAATCCAATATTAGGCCTCAATTTGAAAAGAATCACTCTATAGAAAAATTTTTCTAGGTGTAATTAGGTCCCTTTTCCTGTGGACGGCTGCATATTAAAATCACCGATAAGATTAAATTTCGATTAATTTATGATAATATGTTGTAAATCAATTTAAAGAAGGAGTCTTCTAATGTTCAGGCTGACAATATAAAGTTTCACTGTAAAAAACTAAATAAATGAAATCATGACATCTGATGCGCTTGTCAAAAGTATGTAAGAACACGGGTGGTGAACTGGGTTCACAAAGTTTCAAAATTTAGTCTATTATAAGGTAATGAGGACACACTTCTAAGTATTTATCTGATTATACCTCAGGCTAGGAAGATGCCAAATTGAAATGGTTCCACAACTGTGAAGACATGCAACTTGCTGACCCTCTGGTGATATCTGCATTCTAAAAACAGCACTCTGAAAAAAAAAATAAAGTCAATAATTAAGTCCATGTTCATCCGCTTTATTATGACATCATGTGATAAAGTACATCACTCCACAGGAGTAGAGTCGCTTTCCGAAAGAGCCCTGTTTTAAAAGAATACTATCTGAATGTTAGCACTTTGCATCAACATAATAACTGTGAGTGTCCACTCATAAGTGATTTTTTTCAAAGAGGGGGCGAAATTAAAAGACTCCCTTGAGACTGATCTTTGAATCGAAAGTTTTACTCCACGTCACAAATGCTTACACGGCACCCACTATTCATACTACATAATAATATTACCTGTTTGACAAACTGATTGATTAAACTGTTGCTGAAGACGGGAATCCATGATAACATACTATATTTTAAATTAAAGTAGGATCTGTCATCTGAGTCTGAATTTGTGGCTCTATAGTATGGGACATCGTTGATTAACCGCCAAGAGCTGAGACCCCACTGCCAATTTTCCTACAAATAAAAAACGACGATTTGCTAGATAAGATAAATAAGTAATAATTTTATATAAATGCGTAATAGGATTAATCTAGGTTTACATAAGTACATGATTAATCATACATGGTGTTGTCCAAGTTATGGAGGAGTTACATTTTGCTACAGGAAACAGCACAGTCAAAACTCATTTAATTAAACAAATTTTGGAAGAAAAAAATTGTGGTGGTAGATTTTGTGTTACTATTTTTTCTGGAAAATTCGAACTTGCAGAGTTTGAATGATAATATTTTTTTCTCTATAGTTTCAAACAAATGTAGCAAATCCACATTATTTGCATCATTCTGATGATAAGTATAAGCTATATTGTGCCCATTTTTATTATACTTGGGCATATTGAACCCTCATGTATATTTATCACTTACTTTACTACACCTCCAGAATGCACTCTAATTTGATACCAATATGGACCCCTTCATAGGCCAAAGAGGGGAAAAAATTGGAGTCAATTGGACAAAACTTTCAGAGCAGAAAGGCGGACTCTGCAATCACACATGCTTTTGACCATTTTTACAGAATGCCGATATCATTGCTTTAGTATCGTTGACCACAAACAAAGTAGATTGGCAGTAACAAACTTGACCCCAAAGTATCCTGTAAGTTCCTCTTGTTTTCTATTTGTTCTAATCCTCTAGAAAATTTACATCCAACAAATTTTCCTTTACCTTTGCTTTACTGTTAACAATTACTGGTGAGCCAACGATGAGCATGTGGTTTTTTTGATGGTAGGTCACACAGGATATTCCTTTCCAAAATTTAAGAGGTGAAAAACTCCATTTGTGATAGTTCTGATATCCACCGGACGAAGACACCAGATAACTATGCAGAATGCCATTGTAATCTATTGAGATAAGCTCATGTGACCACTTGGTACTTTTAAAGCGAATATCAATGAATATCAAAGCCGCCAACGCCTGAACTGAATCTCCAAAAGTTTCAGTGTTCTCTGATGGTATGACAAATAGGTTACTGCCGAGAAGGTCAAAAGCTGAGATCGTTCCATTGCTGTTTGCTAGTGCAACCATGCTACAGTCAGGGCTCCATTCCAATTTGCGTAGGTGAGGCCACGCATCCTTCTGAACTGTAATCATAGATAAATTTATATTAAATGATGGTACATATGATTTCTCATCTTCAACAGAAGTTTACTCTGAGTATGCAAAATTCAAAATACACCGATGGTAAAACTAGAAAAACACTCATACTTCTGTTGAAAGAATTAGAAAATTCCTAGTCCTGTTTAACATTTTGAATAAGATAAAACTGAATTCGTTGCTCATGATATCAAAAATATATTTTTTACCTGGGGTAAAATAATTAGAGATATTGTAAAAAAATTATGTTAAATTGATGACCAAAGTGTGACTTCACGATTCTCCAAAATGCCTCCTTTTGCCTCCAAAACTGGCCAAATTATGTAGTAGAAGTATTCTTTAAGAATACTATCCGCCTCTTTCATAATGTTGAACAATACACTGTGAATTATTATGGAAAAATCAATAGATTTTAAGAAACCCGTTTTACCTTGTTTTTGCGCCACATTCGATTTGCAGATATGTAGGTGTTATCCGCAGTAGCAGCAGAGTCAAAAGAGCATTGTAGCATTTCTGCCGACCATTGCCGATTTGCAACTGATCTCTCTTTATTATTTTGTTGTTGTAATTTAACTCCCTTGATTCTTTTTATGATAGGTAAATGCAAGGAGGATTTTTGCGATAAAATACTGTTCAATGCACTTTCTCAGGGGTAAATTGTGAATGAGTCTGTACAGAGATTCGTATTTACACATTAACCCAATAGATAAATATTTTATTTTCATTATTATAAACCATTCCTCGTGCGTTTCAGGCAGATGCACAGTGACCTGTTTCGTGATGACATAAATGATTGAAACCCCTTAATTTCAGAGGAATGTTGTGTCACTTTTTGACCATGAAAATATTATTTAAATAAATAATCAAATACAGTATGATCAGAAGTTGGCAACATTCAAAGTTAAGAAAAATATGTGCTTAATTTCACCATCTATGGTGTATCAGTTAAAGGAGTCATCATTGAACGTTCGGAAAATTCAGGACAGTAAAATAAAAGACACTCACCTGTTGCTTTTCCAACAACAGATGTGTACTCATCACGTGCAGTTCGTATCTCCAGAATCGAGTCTTGAAGAATTGCTACTACTTGACCATCTCCGCCAGTTGCTAGCTTCCATGGAACTTGGGAATTGACTGAACTAGAAATTGTAAAATTACTATATACTTAAAAGTGTGATCAAACTCCTAGATAAAAATTCATTGACAAGGTAAATATCAGGAAATCCTTGTAAAAATATTGCTGTGAACAGGGTGTTGAAATACTGCTGGATCCACTTTATCTAAAGAGGAACCAAGAGCATAGAGCTCACAAATTGAGAATTGAAGTTCCGGGGGAGTAAGTAATAAGTGAAGAGCTATAAGAAAACGGTTAGAGGTGTTATTATTTTTTCAAAGTTTAAAAGTTCAGACATCATTAAAGCTTGTTTGGCTATGAACAGGTAAGTTGTGCTGGGTGCAGAACTAGTTTTGGATATTTTGAGCTTGTTAATTTATGAAAAACAAGATCTATTGAAAAGTCAAGTTTCTGTGATCGCTCACCAAGAGACACAGCTTATGGTGTCATGTACCATGATTGTGCATATCGTAGTTTCTCCTACCATGAATCAGTGATGGGTATGTAAATTTGCACTGGTTGCTAGACATAGCACACCTACAGATTGAGACCAAAGTGGAAAAAGCCATAGGATGCATCACTGCGGTGAATGATATCATATACTGTATTTTTATATCGGTGATATCTACATTGATATTGGACGTAGAAATTGGATGTTTGTACAGATCTTATTAATTTTTGCAAATCTATATGCTTAAACTGTCAAAACACAATTCAGTGATGAACGCAACTTAAGTATGGACTAATCATTACGGCAAACTCAGGAGTTTTTTAGTCCATAAAAATGATTTGTGACACATCGGCAACACTAATAACTGCAAATCATGTTTAAAAAAATGTGAGAACTTGAGATTTGTCTCACTCTTGTTCTTTTCAAACCCTCCAGGAAACATATGATAGGACAAGTGCTTACTTAATGATCGGACTGGCTTCCTTCCGTTTCAAAATACTTGAGAGTCTTGTCAAAAGGAACGGTAAAGACTGAACACTGGGAGAAACTGCTTTACTAAGCCGCTAGAACAACAAATAAAATATGATTGTGGATTTAATTTACAAAATTTAAAAATTGATTTTCTTTTCCAAATTAAAGAAGACTGCTAAGAAATGATTACCTAGAAATGTTATTGTGATGATTAGATAAGTATATAAATGTGTACTCATGTTTACTGTCAGCAAATTTTATTTAAAGTTCCGTACCTCCTTCGGAAGTTCTATCCCAATTTGTCTCATCAATCACCAATACCAATGGACACCGTTGTTAACAGATTCGATCAATCAGGTCCGTTGTCTTTCGATAGGTCAAACCTTTTTTAGAACCACCTCGCGAGGTGGTACCAAAATCACGCACCAACGTGGCGATTCGTTAGTCACCACCCAATTTGTCTCATCAATCACCAATACCAATGGACACCGTTGTTAACAGATTCGATCAATCAGGTCCGTTGTCTTTCGATAGGTCAAACCTTTTTTAGAACCACCTCGCGAGGTGGTACCAAAATCACGCACCAACGTGGCGATTTGTTAGTCACCAAATCGAAAGATCCAAACTCAAAATAAAATGGCAGCTCCGGGATTCGGGCACAAAAGTAGTACCGAACCTATAAATAAAATTCGCTTACTTCATACTTTCTGTAAATTACAACAATTCAATCAGAAAATACTTATTTATGAAACCTGTATAGTTATTTGCAACATAGCAGACTAGCTGCTGCAGTTTTCTTTTCAGTGGATGACTGCTTGTCATTATGAAACAATGCTTCATGCAGTTTTTTTTTTTTTTTTTTTTTTTTTTTTTTTTTTTTTTTTTTCATTAACTGCCTTGTCAAGACTATTTTCACAGAATATCAAACGAAAATTCTCGAAAAGTTCATGCTTCACTTATTTCAAACATTATTGCATCTGACGACTACTCCTTGGCATTAATATTTAAAATCAAACAAGAAAGTTCCAGGTGAGTAGTTTTACTACTAGATAGAAGTCCAGCTTCAACTGGAAAACATTAGCAAAGGCTTACCGAAAACTCTGGTTCTAGTTTCCATTCAGCGTAGACTAACAGCTCATACAGAATTTTTTCTGTTGAAGGAGTCTGCATATTTCTCTTGATATAACACTTTAAACTTTCAAAAAGTTGTATAAATTTTAAGACATTTGATATGTGGCTGATAGAAGCTAAATTTAAAATTGTACGTTGCGACGATTACAAAATGTAACATTGAGCACATAATAGTAACATTCTGTTCTTAGAACTTTGAAACACAGCACAAATTAAAGAATGAAACTTCATTATTCATCTAGCTTTTGGTTTACAGGATGATATTTTGGATTTTTACAGTAATTATTCACAAAAAAAAATTCAAACACATCCGTCAAATGACACTAACACACTTAACCTTATTTTTGACTGACGTTGCTTGTAAACATTGTCGACTGTTGCGTCCCAAAAAATCATCGATTTGATATCAGAGATTTGTGTTGACTATTCGGGTGAAATTTTCTTTTAGGTTATGTATGTATGTGTTACAGGAGAAAATTTTTTGGAAAGTGTCTAAAAATAATTCTGGAAAAAGTATGTCAGTTCAAAAGTGAAGGACCTGTGGATTTTTTCCCAAGCTGTGACAGTGCACAAACTATTCACAAATTATTTTCTGAGTGATGTCGTTTTTCTTTGCTCTTTTCACCCGTGAAAGTGCTTGCTTATTGTAATGTCATCTTCTGAAGTTGTCAACACGAATAATTGCACTCTCTTTGAATCCGTCGGAACCTATCTCGTTCATTTGTGGGCTGTTCTTTTCAATGCAATCGGTTTTAAATCAAGTGAAAATCTTGTCAGAGATATTTCCATTTTTCCAGACTTCAAGCAGCTGATTTTCAATGTTTACGCATGGTTCTATTTTGATGAATTTCAAAGAACTCTTCTAAAGTATTTCACCACTGTATTATGCATTAACATCTGTGGCATCGTCCTATTTTGGAATATATATGGAGAAAGAATTCATGATCGGTTTATGAAACCTGGTGAGTTTCACTCCTGGTTTTCTACTTACTTATGCGGGCTTTTGTTCTCAATTTCAAGGTTGTGCAATTGCACATATTGTTGCAAATGCTCCAATCGCCAATTCATCAGATTCCTCTTAATATTCTTCCAAGAATCATTTGTGAAGTTTTCGTATCGCTGCACTGAATTCCTTCTTTTCCTGTAGTTTTGGAGGTTCCTCTTATCATTATTAAACATTTAATCAAGATCAAGTTGAACACTTCTCTAGCAGTTTGCCATTAAGTATTAGTGATGGCGATATCAAATCGATTATTTCGGTAAATCGATTTTTTGGAAAAAATTATCGAGAAAATCGAATCGATTTTTTGTTGCCGATTTTTAATCGTAATCGATTTTTCGAGCAGAAATCGAATTGTTGAAAAAATCGAAATTTTCTACGTAAATGTGGCACAGAAAGGCCTAAATTCTGTGAAACCCGAGTTTCATTTCAAGGTTTAGATTTGTTTTAGGGCGTTGAAGGTGGATTTTTAAGTGTTTTAAAATCGATTTCGAAGAAAATCGATTTTTTCCATCCGATTTTAAAATCGAATCGATTTTCTACCGAAAATCAAATCGATTTCCCGAAATCGATTTATTCGAAAACATCGCCATCCCTATTAAGTATTACAGTACATTTTTTTTTTTTTCCATTTTTCAACAAATCAAAAGTTCAGCAGTGTTGTCAGATAATGAGATCAAGTTTTGATTGGTATGGAAGTAGTTTGGTCCTTCACTTATAATGTTAAAACTTACCTACTCATATCATATAATATTGAAGCTTATACATTAATGCACTAATTATTTTTTTATTCACAAAACTTGGCATTAGTTCCTCTGCATTACAAATTCACTAGTTCAATGAAGAAAACAAGTCATTCATACTTTTAATTAGATTGAAGATATGACTGAGCCAAAAAAACCGTGGTTGTTTACAATGGCATTGTCCATCTGTTCAGTGTCACGTCCCATTTTTCCGAAACGTTTTCTGCTTTCTTCCTCCAGAAATTTCCCATGTACTTGAAATACTTGCAGCTGAATGGTAATAGAAAGTTGGGGGAAGCAATGCTAATTGCAAAGTAATCAATCACAAGGAATAATTAATTTTTGGTGAAGGGGATGAACAAAATCAAGGAAATCACTGATTATCTAACAACATTTTCAACTCCAAAGAACTTCTTGTGTTAAAGCAGCAAAAATATAATATGGATCTTTATAATCAAGTCATCTAAAGTATTATCAAGTAGGCAAATCAATTTAATTTTTCTTTCTTTTTCCCCCTTTAGCTTCATCAAAGGTAATTGAAGACCTGAGAGAAAGCGTATCTAAATTAAAACTACCCAAAGAGCATTCACCCAGGTTTTGAACATCACATCTGTATAATGGCTGAAAGACTGAAGAAGTTATTTGCCAAGAGGAAAGACAAGTTCAAAAATGCTGGACCGGGCCACTCACTGCGAGAAACATCATCTACTAGTTCAGCAAGTAGTGCAAAATCACAAAAAGAAACAGCTTCATATCCAAAAGAAAGAGTGGAGCCATCCCAAGAAGCTAAACAAGCAGCAGCTGCTGCCTTGGCACGTCTTAATCCTCCCGCCAGAACAGCAGGCTTTAATACGTAAGTCATTTTAATAAATTTGCATGTAAGCATTTGTATTATCAAATTCTTAAGAACGCACAATCCCCAGTTATCGATAAAGCAAGAAAACATAGCCTGAATATACGAATAAATAATGAGAGAACCAACCATTAGTAACCAAGGTTAAAACATTAAAAACACTATAAAGCAGGATGTTTCGAAATGTTACCAGCTCATTTTCAGCTGCAAAAAAACACAAAAAAACAAATAAAAAATTGAGTGGGGACCTCACCCCAGCCGTTATCACATAACCACTGGAATTCAGTACCAAACATCGGAGGCAGACATAGTGGCCGCCTACACACCAACCAATGGGGAAAGTGGGTAGGCAACCCCTGCTCCTACACATCTGCCTGCAAAATACAAACAGATAGTAGCAGCTCAAAACGTCCTGCCTTACAGTTTTTTTTAATGTTATAGCCTTGTTTACCCATGTTTAATTCCCTCCTTATTTATCCCTAGTTATCTAGTCACTCTACTAATGTTGCTTTACTTAGGTACTCCAATTTGAGTTTTAATCATGAATTTTCAGGCAGAAACAGATTGCTGACGGATGGTTATTGATTTTGCTTCCTATCTCTATATAATCATATTTTAAAAGCCTCAAACTAAAGCTCAATCAAACCTGATGTACAACTTTTTATTCAGTTTAACCAAACAAAGATCTTTCATGATACTTTGAGTATCACAAATCTGAGTGCTGAAAAAGTTGTTGGTTGTCATGAAGAAGTAATTCTTCTTTTCAGATCCCTTGCAGCAATTCAAGCGCAGGTCAAGAGAGAACTTGAAGCTGAAAAAAAAGCAAATGCAACTGTCGAAGTGTCTCATAAACCGAAAGTTGAAGTTCAAGAAATGGAAGCATCTCCGCATTTAGCAGTTTCAGGCGTCTATTTCACCTGTCCCATTGTTGGTGAGTGTTTCCATTTAAGCACTTATGCTTATTCAATATCTATCTCTTGTCATACATGAAAAAGAATTTGTTGTTTTCAAATTTTAATTTTTTCGAAGTATGGTGAGGTATCTTTAACTAGAAATTCAACCCATATTTACACTTCAGTACACTTAATCACTAATAACCTCATTGTTTCCAGTAAAGAAATTGTTGTAGAATCAGTTCTTGAATTATTCTCACTGTCACTGGATTAGTTAAACATTTGCCAAAACTATGCACAAAGGCTATCAAAGAATAACTGGGAGGTGGCCTGTGTAAGAAAAATATAAAAAATATTAGAATCCTCAAAAGCAATACTAGAAGAAAAACATTTTCCTAGGATGAAAAAACTGAGTTCTTGTGTTTACATTCAAGTGCCAGCAAGTCTCATGCTACCAGCTTTTGTAGTAAACCATCTCTGTTCATTTACACTGAATATTACCATTTGAATTTACAGGAGGAGGAACTTTCACCAAAGAAGAATGGATGAAGAGAATTAGAGATTTCCTGCATGAAGAGTTAGAAAATGAACCAGGCCTTATTGCATGCCTTATGATCCACACATTGAACCGTAACAAGGAAAAGGTATTCGTCAAAAATCTTTTACATTTGCCCAGTATGTTGAAGTACTTTACCAATCAATATGTTACCTTAGTAATAGTTACCAGTTTTTGCAAAAATGGTTCACCTCATCACCTGGATGAGTGTAGCTGCAAAACAGCATGTATATTTTATACTATTATGCACTCTGCCATGACAAACGAGAACAGTGGCTCTTCATTTCAGATTTTGCAAATTTTTACCTACATAAATGGATTTTTCAGGATACATACTATAGGGTTTGAAGTATGCTTCATGGAAGAATAAAAATTTAGTGCCTGGGTTTTCTTTTTATAAAACATCCTGTCCAAAAAAAAACCCCCTTAGAATCTGGTGAAGTTCTGCGGTTTTTCCTTAGCAGGGCAGCCTTATGTCACAGTGGGTATCAAATATTTGTCAATTTATTCTCATTGAAAGCAACGAAGGTGGTTTTGTGTCCGTTTTGATTCAATTTGATACAAACTAAATTACTGTCAAAATTTTGTTTCATTGGATCTAAACAAATACATAACCTCTTCTAACTCTTTTAATTTGGTACAATTTATATTGATTGTAATGCAATTTTCCATTTTATTCCACCACATTGCCCATCATTCAATCTGTATCCATTTCATCTGAAGATATTACGCCTTAAATCCATCAATGTAGGTATGGAACGCCCATTTCAACATTCTTTCTTTTCCATTCCTTGAAAACATGCCCCAAAAAAACCTTAAATAGTGTCGATGACGAACGACGAATTATTTCCTCCAAATATTATCTAATGTAATCTTGGTTTTTTTTTTACTACTAGGTGGCAAGCTGTGTAGAAATTTTATGTAAATACTTAGAAAATGTGGTAAAAAATCCAACTGAGGAAAAGTATCGAAAAATTAGGATGTCCAACAAAATCTTCCAAGAAAAAGTAGTCAATCTGGAAGGAACAAAGGAGTTTTTAGCAGCTGCTGGATTCCAGGAACAGCTATTGCCTTTCCAGGATAAAGAAGAACCATTTTTAGTCATGAGTGAAAGCAAGCTGGAAGATCTGGAATCATTGCAAGTAAGTTCTTGCTCACCTTCTTATTTTTAGAGCAGCCTGTGAAACTTTAAAGCTTTTGTTTTATGTATGAGATGTTCATTTTAGATGTTTGCGCCAGATAAAAGCTAAGAATGTTTGGAGGATTAGTCAACTCATTCAAAAAGTGCTAGTTTGATTAATCACATTGATGATAAAACTACAGATATGCATATATTGGTTAGTGACGTTGCAGACTTCATATTGTACTTTATTTTCCACGTGGCAAACTACTGACCGTCATTCCTTGAGAATTAAAGTGATTTTTCTGTTCTATGAGAAGAATTTTCTGTGAAAATTTCAAGGAGTGATAGTAGTTTGGTCTCATTTCAAAAAATAAAGTATGTAGTAGAGGAGATTTCTAACACTGCAACTCAGATACACATCTTTGTAGTTTCATCGTTGGCATGTAACCTGTACCTAAAGAACTACCCATTTATTTCTACCATGTACCATGTACCTTTCATCTACCCATGTATCTAAAGCATGTACCTTTAACCTTTTTGGTTATCAAAAATAAAACAGTAAAAATAGAGAAATGAAGTGTATTCTGCACTCTTAGAATATTTTGAATTCAGTTGAGGGTTTTTCTGGCCGTATGTGGTGTGGTTAACGCTATGGCAACAAAAATTAACCCTGACTCAATAGATTAAAGAGTCAATGTTTCCACCACAAAGTCATGCAAATAAATTTTTTAGATCTAGAATCTAAATAAATGTGGGTTAATTGTTTTTCCAGGTCTTAATTGATGCATTGCAGAGTGCAGAACCCATTGGTTTAGAGCTTGATCGAAACTTGCAAGTCCTACTACCATCACAAGCAGCAAGGAGACACGAGTTACCTGCCTCTTTCTTTTCTCTATCCCCTGAGGAATTGAAGCGTGAACAGCAGGCAAAGTAAGTTCATTGTCAAAACGGAAATAAAATATATCATTCACTGCTGAGTAACTTACTTTTTCCATCCATCAGCCTTGATAACAGTAATTGAGAATGGATCACTAGGCAAGGTTCAAGAAACCCTGCACGATCCTTATGGGAAATAGTTCTCTGTCAAATCTGATAAAACTTGGATATGTTGCTCAGCTAGTCATTCTGATCAAAAGCTCTTGGGGGCCGAAAGAGATCCCATGAGCGGTTTTTGAGGCACTGCTGTTTTACATGCGTTAATTGAGGTTTCACTGGCAAGACAATTGTGCCCCTCTCTTCCAGTCCACTCCGGCTGCTCTCCGCTTCCCCGCCACCCATACCGGAGGCTCCGACTCCGACGCTGACAAGGCTTAGCTCATTGTCACTGGGCTAGGTGGTCTTATCTGGGTGGTGAAATTTTGTTGAGTAATCATAAATCGTAATACTTGAATTTGCACCTTGTCCAGTGGTCCATTTTACCCTTTCACTGTGGCGCAACATAAGAAATTCAGGAGAACTATTTCCCTTTTAACTACCTCCTTTATGTGAAAATGCAACCTCTTAGAAGCAGATTTTTTCTATGATTGCTTTGCTATAAAATACATTTAATAAAAATGAGTAGCAAAATTCGAATAAGCTCAGAAATTAAATTTTTTAAAATTATCTTTTAGATATTATCTAAAGAATCATTGTCACTAACTGTCAGTGTCTGCATTGGTTTCAGACAAGAGTTAGCAGAGCTACAAACTTCATTAAGGACCAAAGCCATGCGCGAGAAGGATGAACTTCGAGAAATGCGCAAGTATAAGTTCTGTCTCATCAGGGTTCGATTTCCTGATGGTGTTTTGTTGCAGGTAAGACTTGCAATTAATATAGCAATTAATAATACCTGTATCCTAATAGCTAGCCTGGGTGGTGTCGTGGTTAAAAAGTTTACTGTCAGCACCAAGGTACTGAGTTTGATATCTGGTGGTGAGAGGTTTTTAAGGACACTTAAAAGTCGTCATTAACTTCCTAACTGACCATGCCACTCCAATACCCTATCTTTTTTTGAGGTAATAGGATGGGGGAGAACAATGGCGATCCTATAGCAGTCAGTCTACTCTGTTTGGCTGTTTTGTGGTTATAAAGTAGATCACACCCAGCGTGCCCAACTGTCAGCGTCACCTATCAGTGGGAGATTAAGTCCAACTTCTTAGGGGCATGGCCATGCTCCAACATTCTGCACCATGTAGCACCCTTCACTGTTGGCTCATCAAAAAACGGCCAAGCCTTGCGGCAGTAGTAATAGAATATGCTAGTTAAAGAAAAGTTAAGGGGAATGGTGCAATGGTGAATTACCTTTTGCAGGTAAATATCTCTCGGTTAAGAGGGAGGCTCCAGCTCAAAAATGGTTGTAATTTGGGCTACTACTATTACTACTACTGTTGTAATTTATTTGTTTAATGCCCAAAGATCAGAATTTTGATGTGTAATTCTAATCAATCTATGTTCAACTCATGTGAATCAAATGACCAAAAATCCTACTCAAATTTTTGTGCTTAAGTTTTAAAAGTAATTTTAAAACTTTGGAGTCTCAATCATCCCAACAACTGTAATGGTGATGCATTTTTGGTGAGTGTCTGTAAAAATGAATCAAAAATGCTTAGGTTCAAATTTATGCTCCTTAGAATTTGAGCTTTTAAATAAAATATTACTCATAACTTTAATAAATATCATTCACATGATTTTTCTCTGGCATTCTATTTTATAGTCAGGAGCCAAAAGCACCTTTTATCTGCCGTTGAAACCTTCAAGCAGGGATGCTGAAAATGCCTGCTTTCATTATCTGTGAATTGCAGCAAAAACTTAGTAAACGATTTGAGAAAATAATCTGAAAGTAATGGCCATTTTATTTCAGGAAACTTAGAGAGTTCACTAGAAATTTTAAAGATTTTGGAATTTTAGCAAATACATACGGACAATTGAGAGATTCAGCTGTGAGGAGAAAGTTCTGCATTGTAGTGAGTGGCATCTTCAAACTTTCTGCTCTCTTGTTTTCTAATAAAATAGTGAGTAAGTAGAGCTTTTGAAATGTTGATTTGTGACAGCTGTTTTTGTTTACAGGGCACTTTTGGTGTGTATGAAAAATTTGGGCAAGTTGTTGAGTTTGTACGTGATAATTTAATCTCAGAAGACGCTCTGTTCTCATTGCAAATGCTGACAGGCCAAACATTCACTCAAGAAGACAACGAAAAAACTCTGATTGAGTTGCATTTAGTTCCTGCGACTGTGATAGTTTTTGCTTGGAAGGGCTCTGCCCCTGCAAGTGATGCCGGTTCTGCTTTCCTGAAACCAGAAGTCATGGTCCTAATGCAGAAAGTTTAACTCCTTTGCAAGAGGACCTCACCCCTGCTATAATGAAAATTATGCACAACCGTACCATGAAAAAGCAAGCACAGCATTTTTTACGTAGAAACTTCACAATCAGTAAAACAGAAACTTAATGAACCACCAATCTCATTGCTTCAAAGTCCAAATAAACTGAAAGTAGCAAAACCCAAAGACCTTTTACTTTACTTAACTGAGAGCAATACAGACTTCCTTACACACTAGAAGTTGGATCTATGAATCTCTTATTATGATCACCAGGTCTATTTTCTCGATAATTTTTCTTCCAAGGCAAGGTTTGAAACATGCTTTTGAATTAAAACATGTTGTTTTGTCTATCCAATAAGCATCTCCTTTGGAATAGTTGGAACTTACAGTTTTCCGGCCAAAACTTTCAGTATGAAGTATCCAAGTGTGGTCCATTCCCATATTGCTATTCCTTCTTTTATTAAGTTCATTTATTTTATCTATAATGTTGTGTGTTCTTTTTTATTAGTCAACAAGCGTGCCTGTGCGTACGTATATTTTTTTAATTTTAATGTCATAATTACTTTTTCCAAAGCTGTTTGTGTATCAGGCTACCAAAGCTTAGTGCTTTTCAATTATTGTGGTGATGGCAACTACCTGATTTTCTCGTTGTTAGCTTCAGTTGAAAAGCCAGCTTACAGATCCATCCTATATTTATTCAAAAGTTCAATTGATTGTTTGAGTGCAGATTTCTTATTTTTCCAAACCTATTATTATAATTCTTGGCATACATATTCTTGAAACCATGTTTATCTTGATTTATAAATTGTTATTAATTACACCAATGATGTGCATGAAATAAAAAAAGCATGAATTATTCAATTACTATGTCGTCCAGTCATCTTGGCTGAAAGGTTGATGAATAAAACGTTACTGCAAATCATTCGTCTTATGAATTTATCTTTTATTTACCCGTCAATCCACAAACTTTGCGTTGACTTCCATAAACCAATGTGACATCATTTATATGGGAATGAGGACGAAAATGAAACCAGATGAAATGATCAAACAATATATATATTTATCTCTGAAAAGTTTAATGCAGAAGTTTTTTCCTCCTAAGTAACATCCAAGTTAATAACACTGGAATAGGTGAACTTAGTCGTTAAAATACTTTATACATTAATCGGAATGTAAAATTAAATCATATTGCTTTTTCTCATGAGTGGCTGGAATTAACAGAAAGAAAAATATTGCTTATCTAAGAGCAAGCAAATGCTTAATTTCTCTTTGATCATGGTAGTTCAAACTTCCTTCCCTGGACAATAGAAAATTTTGAAAATTAGAAATACCCGTTATTTGAAACTAAGGCACTCCCTTTTTACTGATCACATACAGTATAGATCTAGAGTTTTATTGTCCGCAAGGCACATCTGTTTCAATATGATGTTCCTCCTTCACAGATTTAAAAGGCTTTTCTTGTGCTCGTATATTTAAGCTCTTGTGTGTATTCAGCGAAAAGCTTTATTTTAAATATAAAAGTAAAAAAGAAGGTTGGTTGATACATCAATCTCCAGAAAATCTATGAATATATCCATGAATCTCAACATAGACACATTAATTACTCGGAATACCTAAGTAATAACCAGTCAATTCCATCAGATCCTGCTGTGAAGCATACACAATGGTCCTAGTTCAATACGGATGGTATGCAGCTCACCAAATTAGGTAATATTAAGTTTTCTGGAAGAAATCGAAGCTAAACTGCACTTGAATTTAGTCCCTAGATCTGTTACAACATTCAAGACTAAAAATTCATCAAACTCAGCAGTTAAATTTATTGCTTGGCATTGAGCTGCATGAAGGAAGTGTCCATTTCATTAGACATTTCTGATTCTGGTCGTCTTCGAACTGGTTTGTTCTCGCTGCAGCTCAGTACAAATTTCACCTCAACCATAAATGCCTCCATGAGTGTTAGCTGAAAATATAACACAAGATAATTTTGTAATTTGAATGGTGAGAACGAGCAAACATTCAAGGGATTCAGTTTTACTGGCTGTAATACTGAAAAATTGCACAACAAAACTGATGTTTTTCCCCCCCTTTAAATATATCTAGGTACACTGAAGTGTAATTAAATACTCCAGAGCTCAAATTTTGAGCTTGGGTGTATCATAGATACCTGATCAATGGTATATTTTCTTCTCTGCACCCGACCGAAATGATTTGGCTCCATTGATTGGCTAAGATTTTGAAACAGTAGGTAATCTATATCATTTAGAAGGGCTTAGGTATGGGCAGGGGCGTAGCTAGGAAATTTCTCTGGGGGGGGGGCGGCATGGGACCACCTCTCGTGGTGAAGAGAGCGGGGGGTGAGGAATGGAGGATCCCGTTTTTCTGGGGGGGGGGCACGAGATTTCTGGGGGGCCAGCCCCCCCCCCCCACGCCCATAGGTATGGGGGTTAATTCATTGTTTACGAACTGACTCAACTCTCTAATGCGTACCTTTTCTTCCACAGCAACTTTTCGCACATTCCAAAGAAACTCCAGAAGTGCAAAGAAGAATGCAAAACTGCAGCCTAGAATCAAGACAACGAACACACCACCAACATTTGCTATGCCCAACTCTTGGGAATCCTCTTGCTCTCCTTCCTGTGGAAAAAAAATTGAAAATATAGATCGTAATTAAAGTAGATTTAAAAAAACTTCGCAGCCATTTTAGGCCACGTCCGTCATTTTCGATTTTGGGATTTTGGAAATTTGACTGAAAATTGGAGTTTCTCGTCAACAAATACCCGCGAATACAAAGTTTCGCAAAAATCGATCAAACAGGAGCCAAGATAGAATTTTAGGCCACGTCCGACATCTTGGTTTTTCGAATTTTGGTAATTTCACAAGAAATTCGAGTTTCCCGTCAAAACGTACCGCTGGATATCGAGTTTCACTAAAATCGGTGCAGCAGGAGCCGATTTATCAATTTAAGCAACGTCCGCCGTCTTACATTTTCGAATATTGAAAATCTGACTTAAAACGCATGAAATCCAAAATCTAAGTTCAGATTCGGCTTCCTCGTGAAAAATCGATGCAATTTCATGTATCATATGTCACCATTTCATGAAGGAAAGAGATTAACGTAGGCGTGTAGATTCTAACATATCAGTCCGACGTGGCAACATGGGTGATTCGGAGTGGGTCAGCTGATGAGTAAGAAGAAGTTAGTTTTCTCGGAAACGGACGAACCAATTCCTTGACGCCGGCGTCTGGCGGCGTAGCTCAAACGTTTGAATTCTGTGCCTACTTCCGCATTCCGGCCGGATTTGATAGAATCTTTACGCCTACGTTTACTCTCTTTCCTTCATGCTATGGTAACATATGATACATGAAATCGCATCGATTTTTCACGAGAAAGCCGAATCTGAGCTTAGATTTTGGATATGATGCGTTTTAAGTTGAATTTTCTGAATTTGAAAATTTAAGACGGCGGACGTAGCCTAAATTGATACCGACCGGATTTGACAGAATCTTTACGTCTACGTTTACTCTCTCTTCTTTATGTTATGGTAACATATGATACATGAGATCGCATCAATTTTTCACGAGGAAGCCGAATCTGAGCTTAGATTTTGGATATGATGCATTTTAAGTTGAATTTTCTGAATTTGAAAATTTAAGACGGCGGACGTAGCCTAAATTGATACCGACCGGATTTGATAGAATCTTCACGCCTACGTTTACTCTCTTTTCTTTATGCTATGGTAACATATGATAGGTACATGAAATCGCATCGATTTTTCACGAGGAAGCCGAATCTGAGCTTAGATTTTGGATATGATGCGTTTTAAGTTAAATTTTCTGAATTCGAAAATTTAAGGCGGCGGACGTTGCCTAAATTGATACATCGCTCCCATTCGATCGATTAAATTCGAATTTTTAGTCTAATCTCGAAAATTCGAAAAACCCAGATGGCGGGCGTGGCCTAAAACGCTATCTCGGTTCCTGCTCGTCGGATTTTTGTAAAACTTGGTGCCAATGGGAGGGGGGGAGGAAAGACATTTTCTAACACCGCAATCGATATATCGCAGGCAAGTAGTAAAATTAGGCATTTTGTCAAATGCCTAGGCGAATAGTGAAATTTTAACTTAGATTTAAATTCTGCTTCATTTCCTAATTTTTGACAAAATAATTAATTGCCCCTGTAAGAAAAAATTCTCAGTAAAAATTTGCATCGCACAATAGTATTTTAAGCAATTTTTAGCTCCTGCACAGACACTTATCTGGAAATTTTCAGCATGTTATAAAATACAGAATTTTTAGAATTTCATCGTTTAAAAATATGAGAGGCGAATGAAGAGGAAGAGACAAGAGGAGTTCGTAGGTTTGATGAGTTATTTTTCCAAAAAATATTGAAAACTCACGAGCTCCTCGCCATAAATTCACAAAATTTTATAGACCGTCAAAATTTAACTATCCCCCTAGGCATTTGACAAAATGCCTGATTTCACTAGGTATTTACCTGCAACAATTTGGCCAACGTGGTTAGGGAATTTCACGGTCAATGTACTACAGTTTGACCCCAAAAAAGAAAAAAAAAACACGTATACCGTGAAATACCAAATTTTTAAATAAACTGGCAAAGACAAAGTACGTACATTTGTCTGAGTAATGTGTTATAACCTTCCCCTTCCCTCTTCCGCAGCATTCCGCCAATACTTTGTCCACAATCATATTGTGCACTTTATGATATACAATGTCACTGTGTACTCCCATTCACATATGTGTGGTATTTACTCCGTATCTAGAAACTATTTACGTTGGTAATCTACTTCTAAATAAATCAAATTTCATGCGAAATATTGCTAAAACCGAGTGTCATATTACCACGCATTCCTCTTGTCCCTGCACTTTCCACCACTTATCCTTCAGCTCCCGGAGGCCGCCAGACTCTTGCAATTTTAAAACTGATCCACTAATAGCTGTTCTGTAAGGTGAATCTGAAATCAACAGAGGGAAATCAGATAGTAGGAACTTAAAGTAGGTACAGCCTGCAAAGAAGGAATCTTTAATTCCTAAGTTTCAGGGCCAGAAGCAAAGGAATTTGATTGCATGCATGAGCGTAGCTAGGGGGTCCTGGGGGGGCCTGCCCCCCCAGAAATCTCGTGCCCCCCCCCAGAAAAACGGGATCCTCCATTCCTCACCCCCGCCCGCTCTCTTCACCACTAGAGGTGGTCCCATGCCCCCCCCCCATCACCAGAGAAGTTTCCTAGCTACGCCCCTGATTGCATGGCATCGTTTTGAATCCACCTTATACGAATGATTTACACATTGATTTGTTACTCAATTAGTCCACATATTGCACTGAATATCTCAGGGGATTGTCGTCAAGTATTAGAGAAAATTTAAATTCAATTTTAGAGGCAACTTACCAATGACAACACGCATCTGAAATAAAATTAAGTGCAACTTCAAGGGTCTACATGAAGCGTGCCAGCGTCTCTCTCCCCCCCCCCCCCCCCCCCCCCNTCAAAGTAAGTGATGGAAAAACGATTGAGCAACTGCCGATTCCTACAGTTTTTTGGAAGCTTCTAAATTTGCCTTCAATTGACAAGGTAGGCAATAGCGGGTCCTCGAGAACCAAAATAGTCGTATCTGCTCTATTGAAGGAGAAGTAGATGAAAAGTCAATGTGCGCATCTCACACAAGGGGAGAGCAGAGAGTCCGCAATTTATGGTGACTTCCTCTCATTTTACAAAAATAATTTGATGGCTGTATTCATAACTGAAGCAGTTCTAATAAAGTTTTTCTCATTTAAAATGTTGTGATTTTCACTAATTTTCTCACTTTAAAATCTATTTTTCGACAATTTCCCACGCCGAAAAAAAAATTATGAAAAATACTACGAAGCTCGCTAAGTACTTTCAAATGCAGCAATACAATTTTTCGTGCAGATTCTCCATGGACGTATTCAAACGTAAGTGTATCATTTTACTCATCTACTAAATATTACTCTAACAAAGAAAAATATTTGCAAATAGAAAAAAAACTGATAGAACTGAGATTAAAATTAAGTGCGGCTTGAAAAAATCTCATTGAGATAGTTAGGTAACCATCTTAACCAAAACATCAACATTAAATAAAATCATCATGATGGCCTCATTTGCGGTATCAATTAAAGTTAAATAATTCTCTCACTAAAGATAGGCGGTTTTATCATGATTGATTTAAAAGATCAACACCTACTTTAAGCTTTTTAATGACCTTGAATTTTCTAACCAAACTGAAAATCCTTGATTTAGAACCACTTCAACCATAACAGGTATAAATCTATGATTAACTCCGCAAATTTCTGCACCGTGCTCTTTCACTCCTACAACTAGCCGTAGGCTTTACATGGGGTGCACAAAAAGTTTTCCTTCTACAATTTTTCATAAAACTTATAAAGCTCAGTTACGTACTAAATGGCATGGCGATGCCGTATCCTTTGGAATCGAGAAGACCACCAACTTGCATGAGGTTCTCGCAGTTGCGCTCGACTTGGTACTCGATCGAGGTGGACTCCATGAAGAAAGCGTAGCTGCCTTTGCCTTTCATGACGCGGTCAACGCCCTCGGCGTTGGTTTTCACGAAGACGGACGGCCTCGTCGACTCCATCACGCTCCACATCTTTTGGTACAGGCTGTCGTTCGAACTCTACATTCGGGACAAAATCAAAATTAGCCATGGTCGGTTGTCATCAGTGGGTGGGAGCGAGGAAAGAGGGTTTAAAAAAATCGGGATTCTAAATTCAAAATATTGCATGAACCTTTACACCGGAGGGAGGGTGGTATTTAAAATTAAAGCACCGAACGGTACAGGCCCGCCACAAGGGTGGGGATACTGGGTCCATGGTACCGGGGCCTGTGCCCCCGTGCCCCCGTGCCGCCCATGACACACTATTTCAAATTCACATGTAACGCTTGTCTCGTAAGGAAAAGTGAAAAATTTACTTCAAAAATTTCGTAAAAGGTGAATACATATTTTCTAAAACACGCTGGGGTACTGTAGAATTCTTTTTACTGCTTTGCAGGTTTCTATCTATTTTTTAGATTTTTAGTAGAGGATGATATTTTTGCAACTGTGTGCTCTTGAGTTTAAGATATTACAAATTACTTTTCTGGTGGTAAGGGTCCNGGGGGGGGGGATGGCAGTCATGGGGCCCGGATCTTGAAATTGACACTAGGGCCCGAGGAGGGATGCGGCAGGCCTGGAACGGTATTACTTCTCAGCGAAATTTCATGCAGAAAATCTGGATATTTTTAATGATTCAACATTTACTTGAAATGAGAAGCTTTCACAGTTTCAAGTAGAGTGAAAATTTCTCGATAACAAAGAAGAAGAAAAAAGAAGAAAAAAGCATTTAGGTTATTGAAAAAAAGTAAGTTCAGTCAAAGAGATCGTTTTCTAAACTCCTGAAATTTTCGCGCAAGGAATTTCAGTGTTCGACGACTAAAATCAGTTGCTTGCGCAATTTACCCAGTTGTTTCTGATGAGCGCGGAAATTCAAAGCCAAATGGAGACTCGAAAAATGTAAAAATAAAATCAAGTTAAACTAGCCCATAAAACGGTAACATTTCAAAATCAGTCTGAAGTACATCTTTTGGAGGCGAAAGTAAGTTGCTTGTGAAAAGTTTTTAAAACGTAAACGGGGGAAAAAAAAAAATACCGCTACCTGAACCTTATTGGAAAATTTTCATCGTTACCGAGATTGCAGTCTCAAGATCTATAGAAGGAAGAAAATTGTCTGAAGTTCTTGTACTAACCGAGAAGAAAGCACCGGTTGAACCTCCAAGTAAGCATCCGTATTTTACTTTCGATTGTTTGGCCAGATCTTCGACACTACTGATCGTTGTCTCCATTCCAGTTTTAGTCAAAAACGCAGCTAGATTGGCAGTGTACGAAGAAATCATGATGAGGGTAAAGAACCACCACATTCCGGCCACCAATCTCGTTGAAACGGCCCTGTTGAAAGAAGAAAATATTTCGTTCAGCGATAAAAATTAAATTTCATGAAAGGTGTTCCTGATATGAATATTATCTTCTCGAAATTTAATCTGTTTGCATGAATTACTGTTCTTACTGCACTTTCGAAAAACTACTTTAACTGAGCCAATTAGCTACTTTTCAATCATAACATCATCATAAAATATAAGTTTTTCCATAAAAAAAATTTATAAAAAAAGTTAGCTATTCAAGTTAGTGTATAATATTTGATCACCCCTCATCAGGGGAGAGGACATAGCCGATATGATTTACATAACCGTAACATAAAACAGTCAAATATGACCCGTCATTTATTTCATTCCAATGTCACAATGTAATTCATAAAATGCAAAACTTGCGTTCCCCTTCCCCGGAAATTATTATCATCATTCGATATTTTTGCACATGAAAAAATGATAGGTATTTATTAATGTGGAGCCAAAATCTGACGCGTGTCCCCCCTTCCCTCTTTAAAAAAAATAAATAACAAAAATTTCTAAAATGCCTAACTCTTCGACGTCGAAAAAAAATAACAATTAAGCTGCAATTATGCATAGTGTATAGAATATCACAATCAGAGGTAAACGATTGCTTGGTTGCAGGAGCATGCACTAGCTTGCATACAAGTAAGGAATGTAGGTATACACAGTTCCATTGTTGTGGTTCATTTATACAGAGGGTACTTAGAGTGCCGTATCAGGAATATAAAACACAAATATATAAATGTATTGTGCACAAGAAACCACTACCTGGTTCTTGAGGTTGTTTTGATTTCTTTTTCATGCAAGCATTCCTTTTTTTCTTCTTCTTCTTTTTTAAATGAAATCCATTTCAGAGAATTTTTTTTTACCAAAACGATATTCGGAATGACTATCTTTTCATGTAAGCAGCGTATAATCATTCAGAGTCTCTCAGCCGAATAAGAAGCATTGCATAAGAAGCCGTTTGAGTTTAGTCACTTATGATCTTGATTTGAGGATTACAATGCTGGTGAGATTCCAAGTAGTGTAATACATACCTTAGTACACAAAATATAAAGCGTAGATTTTGAAGAGAGAGTATTTATTTCATAGGTCCTCGTATCAAAAGTTTTGCGTAAAATATATTTCTCAGCCTTTCAGCACTATGATATTTGAAATTGATTCGATATACCTCGTTAATTTTAAGGGAGCCCTTGGATCATTCATTTGACTTATGTGAATATATAGTTTTAAAAACCAAGAGCGCCTTGAATGAAAAGCACTATTCTTAAGAAATTTAAATACCTACTATCTGCGGCTTAGTGCCCTCGTGTTATGGGAATGAAATTAAAGCTGTTGTAATCAAAACTGTCATAATTTCATCGTTACATGATTAAATGGGAATAAGTGCTCATCAATTTGGATAACTTTTTTCCTGATTGTCGGGGTAGAAAAACTTGAGTTAATAGATGACCAATGTAGTACAAACGTAGAAGCATTTGCAGTTTGTGTATTAGAGCTATTGCATATAGGTAGGTATCGCCGTCTCTTAGTAGTAGTTTAAGTAGTGAGAAAAGTGAATTGTTAGGGGTCGCCGCTGATATTGAGTTAATTGCGTAATTCATAAGTCTTACTTTTCAGTTTCTCTCTAGTTTCCTCTTTGAGAGGCCGTTCAAATATTACTTAGGCAACTTACAGGGGATAGGTGTCTCAGCTGGCCTTAAGAGGATCGTAGAGGAGAGAGGGGGGGGGGGGGTTAAACCATTCAAAGACCCCCCCTCCTCCTTTCTTAAAATAAAATAATATATCTGAATTAAAATTTTCCAGCTATTTTTCGGCTCCTGCCTTTATTTTCTGAAAAAGAAGGGGGGGGTATCAGGACAATCCTACGTAATTAAAAAAGGGGATAAGAGATTGTCTAACGGATACCTTACAAAGGGGTCATAAAGTTGGTCAATATATACCTTACGTAATATTTGAATAGCCCCTTAAGTCGGAAACTCCGCACTTTTTGTAGCGACTTCAACGCAGAATAGAAAAGTAGAGCAAGAAGTTACAATGACGGTGATACAATATTTTAACTTAATATATTCTTTAGGCCTGAATTTTAAAACGCCCTTTGAAAATTTGTAACTTTAAATATATTCAAGTGTACCTTACATAACGGAATTGTTTGCACGTAAAACACTCTCTATAGGAGATTGGAAAGACGCTACATAATCTTTCCTGCGTTTCACAATTACCGGTTCAGGATCACAACCTATCCAGGTTCTGGCCTCAGTCCTAAACCGGTAGTTGTTGAACACGTTAAAAGTAGTACTTGTATAGAATAGCTTTTATTCTAAACTTGCTCTATTTCCTAGAATACATTAATTTTCACAAACCAAATAAGAACGATTCATTTCATTAGATAAAATACGCGTCGTGTGTTCAACCCTGGTAGCACATTAATTTCAAAAAAGAGGCATCGCAACAGAGATACGTGTTTTTTATAGTTTTACTGTCGATATGCTGATAAAGTAAAGAATCATTAATTAATGTGCGACCAGGAGAAGGAGTGAAATCACTGCACTACTAAATTTATGACCGCTTACTGAGGGGCAATATCGGAACCTTGTTGCATAAGAGATCCACAGTTGTGCCACACTAAATTGTTAAAATTCAGTTTGTTTTCCAGCTCTTCCGGATCTGGGCTGCAAGGGTGAGGGGCATTCCATTCTGAGGGTGTAATCCTGGAATCAGTTTGGGTTTAGGCATCTTTTAGGAAAAGCATTGACATTCAACAGGAATTCACAGTTTTGAGACAGGTTTTCGTGGTTGCACGCATGTGGTCAACATCAGGAAATGAACATGCAGTTAGGAGAACATTTCAAAGCACATTTCAGCGTCGACTATTGAAAAAAGTTATATTGACAGGAAAATCTGTAACAAGCGCATGCAAAATGAACATTGATTCTGGAATTACCAACGGGGTAAGATTTTTGGTAACCACCATACAAGGAATGACCCAAGCGTTGTTTGACCCTTTTGATAAGGAGTCCTCTTGAAGACGTAGCGTTGTATAACATGCAATGCAGTCTGATATCTGTACCTACACGCTATTGATGAGAAATTTGGATCTATCGTTGTGCCATTTCTCTTCGGATGGGGAAAACGACAAAAATCGTTTTTAACAGTGAGTTTAAATTGGAATCTATAGTGTCTGTTCATTCGATTAAAGAGCTGTAAACACGAGGCAGAGGGTACAAAGAAGAAAATTATAGATTTTTAGGGCAGGGACCTAATTTTGCCCGAATTTCAATATTTTAAAGTAATGAATTACCTATGCGTGATTTTGTTTAAATTTGTTGAATCATGTAAAAATTAAAACAAAATCACGTGGTTTCTTTCTGTTAAAATGAATGAATTCGGGCTGTTTTGCCTTATTAGCTTGAATAAGACAAATGAAAGCAGAAAAACAAGTGAAACTTTTAGAAGAGGGTAAACATTTTAAGAATACTAAGGCAGGGTGTTTCCAGCAAGTTTTGTTTTTTTTTAAGTAAGATCAAGAAAAAAATTAAAATAATTTTACATTTATAATGGTAATTTCTCAATTTCAAAATAGGAGAACTGCAAGCTGAACGGACTAGTGCAGCCTTTTGCCGCAGAAAATAATGATCAATTAAGTCACTAATAAACGTTGATTTTTACTTTCTCGCTCCCCTAGGGTAGAGTAAGTATTGTCATTTTTATTGGTGAAAATTTCTCTATCTCTAAAAAATAACTTTTTTTTTTTTTTAATCTTTCAACAAAGATGTAGTATTTGGGGGTGAGAGTGGACTCAACTCCCCTCAGCGTCTTCATGGGCAATGATTACAGTGGCAAAATTACAGTGGTTAACATTGCTACGACTCTTAACCACTGTAATTTTGCCACTTACTGAAATTTAACCACTGTAATTTTAGTGCCCCCAAAAATACGCGAATTTTCTCTCTCAACTGCAGAAATCCGCTTAATGTCTCGCATTTAGTATTCTTAAAATATTTAGCCACACTTCCCACCAATTCAACTGAGTTTTACCTTCATTTGAAATCGGATTCGCGGTTATATTTCACGACGTTCGAGCCTTCGGAGTCAAAGACGGGAGCACTTTTCTTGCACCGCACCGTTTCGAGTGGTAGCATTGTTTTTTTTTGTTTTTTTTTTTGCGGAGAATGATGGTGATGATAAAGGAATGAAGAGGAGCGAGCAATGGAGCATGAGCAACATGGCAACAGCGCGATGGAGGCTCCTGAGCGGCGATGACTTGGCGGGAGCCGTGCACGTGCAATTTGCGGTTGGCGGGGTAGCTTATCGTTTCAGAGTCTTACTTGGGCAAAATGTCACATCCTTGGGCCAAAACCGATCCGAGAGAGAACCACAGACAATTGTTGAGATTCAGAGCGTTCTCTAGCTCCTCCGGCTCAGCCTCGCACGGGTGGGGATTCTCCCATTCGTTCGGGGTGCATCTGCAGACAAGTCGTTAGGTCGAGCATCCCAAAAGAGGACAAATGAGAATGTCAGTGAGAAAAAGAACACTCATTAATTCAAATAAACATCCCAGAGATAGAGAGAGAGGATGAGAATGAGAGGAAAGAACACCACGTCAATATAGCGACAAAACAATCTACCATAGGCGTAGCTGCTGGTCACGGCTTTCTATCTACATGCACGGAGCAAAAAACCACGTGCGTGGGACCCGAAGTTTAGGTCATATGGATCTCTGAAGTTTTCGGATTGAGCATCCGCGAACATCTAAGGTCCAGCTGCTGAGGTTTGGATCACACACCGGAAACTTCGGTTTTCACATCCGAAAAACTTCGGTTCACACATCTGAAGTACTTCAGATGTAAAAACTGAAGTTTCAGATGTGTGATCCGAACCTCGACAGCTAGACCTAAAGTGTTCAGATGCTCAATCTGAAAACTTCAGAGATCCATATGACCTAAACTTCGGGTCCCACGCAAGAGGTTTTTTTCTCCGTGTGGATAAAGGAGAATGGTGGTAAATACTGCCGTGCTGAAGAAAAACGCCGTATGCACATTCGAAAGTTGCCAGATTTCCATCGATAAAATTTTTATTTTAAGTTATGGATATTTTTCCTTTAAATTTTCAGGCGCTTTAGGTGAAATGACGATCAAAATTATCTAAAAAAGTGGAAGGAGAAAATGCATAAGTTTACCAGGGAATTCGTGTTTTATCGAAGAAAATTTGGCAACGCCTAAAGGTTCATGCGGCGTTTGTCCCTATCACGGCAGAATCAGTGCCAGAGGATGTGCCCCTTCAATCAGCAGGTCAGCAACATGCGCAACACCGCGATGCGGGAGCAATAATATTACCATGAAATCGCAATTTGTCGCACCCTCTACTTCTTTGCCTAGGAATGTACACAAGAAGCACAGGCAGCCAATGGCGATCTCAAGGTATGTACAATTATTGCCACTGGGTTGCAGCGTTATGTCTGTTAGTCTACTAATTGGAAGGGCTCCGTCGCTCTCATACAGAACTTTATTGCAATATAATTGAACTGAGTGGTAATTTGCTGAGTGCCCTTTACCACTATTCCTTTTTTCCGTGTAGATGGTAGATCTCTTAAAGGTAGTTCTACAGCAAATTCGAGAACAGTTCAATGCTCGAATGTTCAATTTAATCATTTCTAAATTTTATGGCATTTCCCAGAAAATCTCTAAAAGTACCTAGTCCCTTTATTCTAGAGAAATTTCTCGAGTCCCCATTTAAGAAAAAGCAGTTACACCCTTCCCCTAAGATTTATTTTCCAGCTACGCCTATGAAATCTACTAAAAATTAAACTAGTTGTGTGTATTTACAAAAGACTACAAGTTATATGGATAGTTTAGAGTGTCACGCGAACAGAACAAACGTTAAATGTAAACTATTTTGGCCTTCTGTTATTGTTGAGAACCTTATTCCTTGAAAAAAAAAACAATATCTTAACATTTACTTACGACTTAAATATTCTTGAGCTCTTTCTCGCTGAAAATGGTCTCAACCTTAGTTACTCAGTTACTTACAGTACTTTGATATACGTCTCTAAGACACAATGTTTTAAGAGGAGACACTTCAAAATTTCAGAGTCATTGATTTTCAAATAGAAATATTTGGGGTGTTAAAAGGAGAGCAAATATGTATATCCTTTTAAGATATTTTAGGCAGGTTTAACACTTTTTTAAAATCTCCTTTTCCTTTGAGATTAAGAAAAACCTCGGGAAAAAACCAATAAATAGTAAGAAACATAACTTGACTTTTCAAAAATCAAGTCGTATTAGTTAAATACTATTTTAAGAAAAATTCTATTAGAGACCAACTGCAACGAATCAATTAAAAAATAAATCGTTAAGATCAAGATGAAACAGAAAAAAATCATAAGCTACGTGTTAAAAAGTTTTAACGAAGTAAATCTCAACTCGGAAGGTTATGTTAGTCGAGATGAACTGTTTCATTACTCCAAATACTTACTTTCGCGTGTTTTTGACACTAAAAAGCTTACTGAATTAATATAGGTACTCTTTTGTCTGTGGTTTGGTTTTGAGTTTTGCGCTTGAATTTTCAAAATCGATTCGTCCAATGACTTGCAAGCCTAGAAGCCTTAGGTACTAAAAGTTTAAACGTAAGAAAACGTATCCGACCCTTAATTTTTTGTTTAAAATCTATAAATTTATCCAATTGAAAAAACTTGAACATCAATTTCATCTACGCCTTAATAGTTCCTCAATGTTGTATTATTCCTTTCAGAACCCTTTGAGGGTTACAAACGATGTTTTAGATATTTTTTAAGGTTCTAATTTAAGTTCAATCACTATGCATGATGGAAAAATTAAGAGAAAAATTTTCAGCTCTACAGAATATACTTCCGACTGATGTTCTCAATTGTTCTCTTTAAGGTAATTAAATGAAATCGGAAATTTTTGACTTTACTTCACCGGCTGAAATCGAAAATGTGCATCTCCGGTCGCAACGTTGCAAATTTCCCCTCATGTTTTTTTTTTTTTTTTTTTTTTTTTTTTTTTTTTATTTTGCCCCAGAGAGAACTGACCAACAATTTTCCTGGAAATTTTCTAAGAATCCTCTGCATACATCCAGAAATTTTCACGGAAATACGAAAAAATACACATCAGAAACTGAGATTTTATAACGTTGCGATGGCGGAACGCAATTTCCAATTTTATCCGTCAATACAGAAGTATGGATCTTTGTGATAATTGGACAATTGTGATTAAGTTAAGCGAAAGGGGCCTTAAGGCGAGACTCAAAAAGTTCAGCAGAGCAAAAAAATCGGATGTAGATGAAAAACATTGATTTTCAATTTTTAACTCTGATCGCTTTATGATACTCTCGAGAACACGGTAGTCAAAATTTCAAACAAAATTTGCATCATCAATGATGCCATGACGTTTCATGAAACGTACGATAAAAGTCGGTAACAGCACAGGCTAAAGTCTGCGTTTTTCTCAAATTCCCGATTTTTTGTTCTTCAACTTTGACTTCATTTTTTCACGTCCTTCGTGCCGAATGAAGCAAAACCAAACCCTGTGAGCTATGGTACCACTATCTCATTTTATTTTTGCCCTCGATTATGAGCCCTTTTACCTCAACCCATCACAATGATCCTCGGCTAAAATCAATAATGTCATGTTAAAGTTGTGAAGGATCAACTTCTGGCGGATACGTACCTTGCTAGAATGAATAAAAGAATAGATACACCCAAGTATGCCGTCGCCATGAATATCCATACCTCCAGGGACAAGGGTGAGAGAAACGAGAACAGGTCTGGTTCTTGTTTTTCTGGTTTACTGTACAGAATACTTATACCTGAAAGACAATAAAGCAAATAAATGATTGCATGATGTCTGTAATTCCTGCTGTCGAATAATTAATAAGATTAAATTTAATAATTACGCTACTTACCTAGTGTCATGAACGGCATTGTGAAGTCCACTGCTGTTCTCCTCTCATAGGTGATAGTAAGATCGCAAATGGCTAAATCAGCTCTCTGAAACCAACCAGTAATCAGAAATAAATATTAGAGATTTTTTTAAGAAATCGCGCAATACATCCACCTTGCTGGTGAACTATATCGAGTCCGTGGAAGTATTTTTGCCTATATTCTAAAATGAAGGCATTCAGTTTTGTTTTTATAGTAGATTTTTAAGCGGCTCCGTGACTCTACCACTGACACACGATGAGTGAGGAAGTAGACAGCTATTCCACAAGCGAATGTTTTTTCTTACATTTAAATTCACTCGTTTCAAAATTAACTTTTCACTTTAAACTACAATATGAAGCGTATGTCAATGTCAAACATCTTACATTTCATGCCAGATATTTACTTTTCAATTTCACACATTTTTTTTCAATTTGGTTCTCCCAACGAAGTGCTTACCATGTCTTGAAGTTCCTTAATGAGACCATTCCACTTCTTGGTTTGTTTGTTGAGAGACCCGTAGTTACCATCAGGTACCAACTCAAATCTGTACTTGAACCCAAGGTCTTTCGAAATTGCATCTATTAGATCAATCGAGTATCCTCTGAACCGATCGTTACCCTCCAAGCCATCCTCCTCTCTCAGCATCAAGTAAGGCTCACCCTAGACGGGGAAAAAAATATGTATCAGTGCCTACGTTGAAAATATTTGGAAAAATAGAGCACAATTTCTACTGAATCGATTTTTATTCAGAAGATGTTCCGAGGCTACAGATAAACTGCATATCGACGGCGTCAGTCCGCAACCACGTATCTCGTTTGCGGTGTTTGGAAATCTCCGCTCCCATTTTATTTGTTTAAATGTGAACAAATCAACATCATTCTTTGAATTTTTTGCAGAATTTTCTTTGCAAAGAGAGGAAAAATCACAGCAGATTTCAAGAATTGCCGTTGAGTGGTTTTCCATTTAAAAAATGAAGTATGACAGGAAGTCTGCGACGTCGCAAACCGAGATACGCGGGTTGCGGACCAACACAGTCAGTATATCCTGAAAACTGAGAGGATGAGAGAAAATAAAGAAAAAAGTCAGTGGACAGGAAAAAAATGTAAAACACCAAGAAATTATAGCGCCGATTCTGAGAGTGGGTAAAAAAGTCTCTTCCTTGCAAAAAGTGATCATTTATTTTTATTATTTGTATCACCAGTTTTCATTATGTACTTCTTAACGAATGTGGCGGAGTCGGTCAAAATGTATACCATGGTAGCAAGGAGGAAAAGTATAAAAATACCACATCTGAAGGGTTGAATTCTGCATTATTTGCGAAATAACCAGGGCCGGATTTACCTACTTGCCGCCCATGGGCCGCCCGTATTTTGCCGCCCCCTCCTCATTCGTTCTGAAACTTCAATAAAAACCATCAAGTGAGCGTGCCGGAGGGGGAGGGATGTATAAGATACGTTTACTCATGATGGACACATTTTTTGCAAAAGCCCTGTCAACACTACTAGCAAAAGTTCACGGAACTTTGCGCGAAAGTTAAGTTCTGTAAACTTATCTCTGTGTTGACCAGGCCTTCCATATTTAAGTATTGAGCGAAAAAAGTATGAAAGAACAAACATAAATGTGGTTTAATAATTTTAACTTCCGCCGCCGCGCCGCGCTGACCGCACTGTATTTGGCACAATGCGTGAAGTATTCCTACAGTCTTGTAGGCGCTATGCGTTTCCCGCCGACCGCTGCTCGCTGCTGACCGCACAGTGTTTGACGCAATGCGCGAAGTATTCATGCAGTCTTGTAGGCGCTAATATGTGTTACTCGCTGACCGCTACGCCGAGGGCTTCTCCTTTTCATCTCAAGTCCTCGTCACCATTGCTCTCAGCGCCGCGTCATTCCAGGTCAAATTGGGTGTTTGGTTTCTCTCTTAACATGACTAATTAAAGGTGCTGCCTCTTGTATCACCGAAAGACGGAAAAATTATTAATTACTATACTCTCAGGAAATGAGAGATTTTGTCGCCTTTTCTCGTTTGTTATTTTTTTTCTGAATCCAATTTTTTTATACCTACATTTAAAAAAATTGTATTTTCCGCTTCCCTAAACTTGCCGCCATGTTGCTTGTGGCCACCCCCTATATTTGGCCCTGAAAATAACACCCACTAATTCCAAAAATTGATCCTTCAGGAGAGATCCAAAGATTGAGGACGAAAATTAGAGAACACGAGAAAACTGCAATTTATACAGCTTTTCAGCTCTGTTACAAGTCTTACGAGCAGTTTTCCTAAACCGATTTAACACCACAATGCGCATATATTTTCAATAAATCATAGCTTGAAACTTTAACCCACGCTCTTGAAAGTATTAAAAAATATTCAGAATCGGAAACTAAATATCTATAGTCTCCACCCAAACCGGGGTTTCTTCCGCAGATCTGAACAAAGAGACTTTGCCAGACTTTGTCATAAGTTAAAATAGTAATTTCAATGAAAATTTATAATAATCAGTAAGTGAACTAACCAAGCGAGAGGTGACGATAAATGTTTTATTGCTAATGGCTTGAACAATATCCTCGTACATTTCACTGCGCGTTCGTGTGTATTTGATTTTGTTGAGAGGGTCCCAAGATCCGATTTTTTTCAAATGCGGCAAAATCTCAGATATTTCCAGTTCGAAGTAAGTCCGAGAACCGGTGGTGCTATTAAATCTCATTGGACCGGTCATACCCTCTATGTCCAACTGTAATGAAAGAAAGTTTGAACAAATATTAAATCGGGTCGCTACTGGTATGAATTAGATTGATGAATTCTTCCCAAACTTGCGGTTTTTGAGTCGAAGTCACCAGCTAATACAATAAATATGAATGTAAAGCATCTTTTTCAGACTCAAGCCTTGATTATAATTTTAGTTTCATATATCTGGCACCCTTATCGAGTCTTTTAGGTTTGTTTATATTTGTATACAATAAAGATTTCTTTGATGGACTTAAAAAAAAAAAAAAAAAATAAGAGAAAACTATCTTTTTTTAAACTGTCCGAATCGAGTGTAAAAAGAGGGAGAAAGTTTGGCAAAAAAGTTAAGTAGTTGAAAGTAAAATGAGACAGAAAATCTATTGGAAATCATGTTTCCTTCATATGTTCTTAAAATTGAAAATTTAACTGTGATGTATCGAATGTTTCCTTCCGAAATACGGAGCGGCTGAAAGTAGAACCGCCTTCATTTGGGGAAGTAGGCAAAATGCGCTCCGAAGAGCCGTAATAGTGGTATCACAGCCCCTGATTATTCTCGCAATTCCTCAATTTATTAAGATACTATTATTCATTCACTCATCGACTCATCGATCGCTGCAATGGAAGATATACGCCGCAGATCTATTTTTATTATTTTAAGAATATAAATCCAATGATTGTTCTTTTATAATCTTTCGTCGTTTGATTTTGAGACTTTAATCTTTCGTTAAATTCTCCAACTACAGATTGCTATGTCGGCTACTGCTTTCGTTCGTTCAGTTTTTGTGATTTTTTTTCCGAGTATTGCGCAAGGAACCCACTTTATGACATTTTTAAGAGACTTTCAAATGATTTTTAACACTCACGAGTTTCATGAAATTGGAGAGTTTAAATCCGTGGAGCCACTTTTCACCGGACCACTGAGCATCTCCAGATAACGTGCCACATTGGAGAGACTGGGTATCAAGATCTTTTTCTGTTCCTAGGATCATATGCAACGCTTCAGCAAATAAATAAACAGCATCGTGGATCAGTGCTGCCTCCACCTGTAACGTTAGGAATTGAAAAAAAAAAAATTAGTAACATCGCTTGTTAAGATATGCAAAGTGGGTGAAAAAATTATCCTTAAACATTATAAGAGAACAAGACTAGTCTCCGATGGAGACTATTAAAACCCTCGCCTTCTCTTCAAAATCTCGTCATAATTGGATTACATTTTGCAATGAGGAACCACTATCTCTGGCTCTCCCACAAAAGCACATATTTGCATAGGGAAACCAATGGCATGTATGTTGTTTCTAAAATTGGCCAGAAATAGTGGTTCCTTATTGCAAAATGCAATCCAATTCGTCTTTACCTCATGAAAGGACGTAACTACATTTCAATGTTGCCAAATTTTCCCTCGCAAATTGCATTTTTACCAGAAGAATCTTGGATATTCCTACCGAATATTTTACTGATTTTTCTTCTGATCTTATGCAAAAATCAGACAAATTTTAGACAAAGTTGCACACAGGTATATTCTTTCTCGAAAATTTTTACGTGAAGTGTCCATGAAACGACTTTGCCGTATTCTTGATTTTTAACTCAGTAAGTACAAGCCATCTTATATTCTTTAGTTTTTCTTAAAAAAAGAATAAAAGAAAATTGAGTCAGGTTTTTCCAGAATTTTGCTATCGCAGGCAACCGTTCTCGACCTACCGTAATGCTGTCAGCAGTAAGGTGTGATCTAATTCCCAGGCGTTGTTCCTCACTAGCCCAGTCTTGTAAAGCGTACTGCACGACCGTGCTGTTGGGGTTCACGAGTCTCAGAGAGGTGATATTTGTCCTCGTCGATGTGAATTCGCTGTAGTCCAATGTATGGGCGTCCTTAAAAACATTTAAACGTCAATTATTGGTTTCATATTGAACCTTTTTATCAATGACGCACGCACGATGTGGCGTTATGAGCTTTTGAACCTAAATTTTGGCAAATCACAGGAATAAAAAAGATAGGATTCCCTTATATTTCATGACACAGGAAGAGGGACTCTATTGCAGTTGCAGCGGCAACACTTTCAGTGGAGGGATTTTATTCGATTTTGGGCAATAAATAGGATTTTGAGATTTTGACATATAACTCTCTCCAATATCACATAAAGTTCTCAGGCAGTTTTCTACCCAGGTTAGATTGGCTTTTCCTCGAAACCTTGCTTTTGAAACTGCGATTTTTAATCCGCCGTGTCATGAACCCAATTTTTTAGTCTAACATTTATGGGCAGTTCTCGTCTCAAGATCTTGGTAGATCTCTGTGTCCGATATCAATGACTGAATTTTTATTTTTTGTGGTCCATATTCCCGTGGACCAACCCATTGAGATTAATCCCTTTGGGCTGATAAGCACTCTACAGAAAACTTTTGATCTCGTATTTTTTGATCATACCATTTTTGTACTTCGTATATAAAATACTACGTTTTGTTTTCGAGGTTCTTTCTTTAAAAAAAAGAGCAAACGAAACTTACTTTAATCTATTAAAAATCTCAATAACTGCGATGAGTGCGAATACAAGTTAGGTAATAAACGTTCCCTTCTTTTGGTGTGTCATATAACATTAGATACTCAATAAAAAAAATATTGTGCACCTGTGCATCTATACAAAATTTTGAAGTCTGTAAAATATCTAGATATTTGTATTTTTTCTATTCATTTTTTGGGGTTGATTTTCCTTTTCTTGGTAACTTACAAGTGAGGTGAGGATGTAACTCTGGTAATCGCCCATCATCTTAACTTCTTTCGCCTGCCGCAGCACATCCAGAATTAAGTCAGTTCGACAGTCCAGGACAATATGATTCTCTGATGATTGTAAAATCTCCTTGAAGAGAGGCCTAAAAAAGGTTTCGAAAATAGAAAAGATATAATCAGAGTATATTCACGTTTAGAATTTCGTATGCTGTTTTGTAGCCTACGTTCATAAAATTTCGATGAAATCGTAATGACATCCCTACATAGTCTTTGTGGAAACATCTGGATGTTAAATTGCCTTTATTTTGCAATTAGGAACTACAATTTCTGGCTCATCCTTAAAGACGCGTATGTTCATAGGGAAAGTAGTGGTCCATACGTTAATTGTTTCCATAAACTGACCCGGAAATTGTAGTTTTGAATTGCAAAATGTAGTCCAAATTATCTTTGAACGTTCTACGCGCATTTTACCTCCACGTTCTGTCAGTTAATGCAAACAAGGCGATGGCAGAAATTTCTCAGATGGAGGATTGAAGGGAGTGTTTACAATAAAAATCGTAGACTATCTCCAAGGAACAACCCCTTGTTGCCGGGAAATTTTCGGGTCAATGAAGGGATCTAGCCCTCTTCTCCATACCTGTAGTCCGCATCCTCAGGAAGTTGTTTGATAGTGACAGGAGCATGCCCATGAACGTTGATGACACGTTGATGTTTTTTGAGGACCTCTTGAAGACGAATCAGCCCCTCAGTATTCTCGTAAACTATTGTGAATGTATTCCAATCCATGTCCTCAATGGTATCAATCAAAGCCTGGAAATTAAACAATTTTATTATAACAATGTATCAAAGTAGTTTTGGAAAACCGGACTCGGATATTTTTCAGAGGTTGTACGTGTTTTCAAATTAATGATCAATATTGACCGGTGCTAATTTCGGTTTTTTGACAAGCAGAATGCTCGAATTGGCTAACTTTAGTAGGTAACTCAAATATTGTATGATTTCTACTAAGACCGTACGTTAGTCTCGGATAATCTCGAGGAACCGAAAACGCTGTAACACGTACACTGCAAACAATTGTGTTCATGTTCCAAGACCGAAAGGCATGGGCATCAGGCGAGGCTATCTTCGGCGGAACCCTATATTTTGAATTAGTGATGCATTTTGCAGCACCTGATCAAACGAAGTTTAAAATGTATCCCTCAAAATGTCTAAACATTGAAACAAGGCACAGTCGAGAAAAGACGCACGGAAATGAGGTGGGAGACATTTGCCTTCTAAAAGAAGGATAGGCCAAAGCGCACACATACATAAGAATTTACTCATTTACAAATGGTTTTAAGCAACCAAACGTGTGCGATTTCTCTTATTTTTTTTCGTCAAGATCATTTCTCATTTTCCTGTGAATAAAACTTGACAATGCGGAACTTCCATTCTAGAAGACAGGAGACTTTAAGGACATTACCTGAGCCAAAAGATCAGCATTTGGATGGATGTTTATGCCTTTTAAGGGCTCGTTTGAAATGTCCCAGTGTGTTTTAATGTGCGGCAAATCTAGAGTATCACACACGGAGTGAACAATCCCAGTCACTTCATCCGTATTTGGACCGAAAACGGCTGCAATTCCCTCAGCGGCTAGATTACAAACTGGAAAAAAGATCAAAACACGTCCTTAAATCCCCGCTGAACTTACACTTTTTCTTTTATTTACTCAGAGCTGTGCTTGGTTTTAGACTCATTGTTGCAATAATTACGTTGAGTGACTCCATTTTTTTTGCTAATTTCACTTTGCATTCATATCACTTGGGATTCTTATAGGGGATTCTTCTTCTCTTCTTCATATCACAGAGTGATCCAGTGTTAAACGGCCAGACAGCAGGAGCGTGTTCTATGGGTCAAAGTAAGACTGTTTTACTGTAAAGTGAGATTTCGATTTTTTATTTAGATCATTTATGAATTCGCAGGGCATAAAAGTTTAGGGGTATACAACTTTTCATGAGATTTGGTTCCCAACCGTTGCCAAAATTCAGGAAAAACTATTTACTTTCCAAAAGAGGGGGGGGGAGGGCGTAGCTCTGACTGGGGGCACTTTAGGAAAAAAAAACTATGTACAACAAAAAAATATTATTTTGACCCATGGAATAAGCTCCTGCAGTCTAGCAGTGTAGCCCTGGATCACCCTGCATAGACTCCGGCAACGAAATTTCACCCCTCGATTTTCAACAGTGTTAATTTGAGCCAATTTTGCAGACTGGGAATAAAGTTATATTCCCTCATTTGGAAACCAAGGAAATGTGTGCTTGACTGGAATAAAAACACATTGGATCTAGAGTCCAGACTCTTGAAAATATTGACAAGAAAAAATATTCTTTATTCGATCAGATTTAAGCTTAAATCAAAAGGAAATCCGCTCAAATTAAGAGGCTGGGCTCTTGATTTAAGCTTAAATCTGATTGAACCAAGAGTATTTTTTCTTATCGATGTTTTTAAGAGTCTGGACTCTAGATCCAATGTGTTTTTTTTCCCCCCAGTGTTACCTGTTCGACTGGTATTGAAGCTGTCCGTTTCGGAAATGATCCCGATTTTCGGGACGAGTTTTACGTCGGGAAGAATATTTTTGTTGAGGTTGATCCGATCGATGGCCATCCGGAACGAGCGTTCCTCGATCGAGTCCTCCGGCCCGAACAACCCCGCTGAAAATTGTACCGAAAAAAATCGTAAATAAAATTTAAATTGTAACTATAAATTATAATTCGTGAAATTATAATTCGCGTATTGATGAAAATCGCTCATTATCCTGATATAACGTCACCTTAAGAATAGCCAAACAATGAACCACCTCGTTAACTAAGAAGTGCTATAATTCAATGTGAACCCATGCGATTATTGCATCCGTATTTTTTGCCCAACAATGAAGCACATTAGTTTGACCCTAGCGTGAATTGTTTCTTTTGGTAAGCCTGCAGACCCCTCGAAATATCTTTTTGACCTCGTTGCTAGGGGAATCCTTGCGGTTAGGGAAAGACCATAATACCAAATGCTTGCGGCGAGGATGTTGGCTAGGCTAGGATCCCAACCGCGAGGAAGGATGCTCACCGCTAGGGCATGACACCTTCCGGTAAGGACTCAGCCTAACCGCGAGGACCTCTCACCTAGCCGCTAGGAGCCTGTACCTTGCGAGTAGGTAAAGGAGGAAAGAGGAAACTTTTTTTTTTTTATTTTTTTTTATTTTTTTTTTTTTTTTATCCAGGACATTCCCCTCCTAACTTTATTCAACAATTTACATAATATAAGTATTCTTATAGTAATTAATATGAGACAAAAGATTGAAATTAGTTACAAAAAAGAAATAGAGATAATCTACATATAGTGTTGAAAGGGACGGAAATATCTGTAGATAAGAAGAGGAAACGTTTGTGAGCTTAATTCATGACAAAGGTGCGTTGAGGGAAACTTATCACTTCACAATGACTCATGCTCACATCCGTATAAACAGACATACACCAGTGCCTTCGAATAGCGGCGGACGCCACCATGTATACCTGAACCTGGGTTTTCCTCTCCGGCCAAGTTGATATCGATATTTTTAGAAATATAGCTTTTTTCATGAAAGGAAAAAATAACCATAAAAATTCCGAGACACGATGTCATTAATGTTCCTTTTTAAAGGACAAGAAATGTTCAACATTTACGCAGTTTTTCGACTTTTACCATCACTATTCAATTCATAAGTCAATCTCGGTCAATTTTGTAGAGAGCGAGCAATTTTTAAGAGCTTCTCCCATGCAAAAATGATTCTTCAGCAATCACAGCATTTTCAGACGACACCATTTCACTATCGGTGCCTAAAGTTTGTGACATTTGAAGGAAGAGGCACCGGAACATTTTCTGGCGGAAAGGCATTTATTAGCCGAATGATGTAAAAATATTGCAATTTTACCTACGACCTAAATTGCAGTGTTTATTTCAATATTTTTTCTATACTGTGCTATTTGAAAGGGAATCCTCAATACATCGATAACATGGATTTATATCCAAGCAACAACGATGATGTAGCTCCTTTCAGTGCTCCCAAAGATGAAGATTTAGATAAAAATAATTTTATTGAGATAACTTTTCTGTATTCAATATTGAACTCTGAGGCTAACTCTGATTCAATCTCATGACATGCATCGATACTATTCGCAAGAAAGATGCGTTTCCGTGACATGACGTGGGTCACATGTCACAGTCACCAGTGAATTGGAATATTCCCCGGAACTACAGATTAGACTCCGCGAACGGAAGCTGTTTAGGACGCAAGCATGCACGCCACACAGTGGAACGAACCAATGGAAGAAGTCGAACATGAAATTGTTAGCTAAAATCTCAAATTTTATTGTTTATTTCGTCACAAATCCAATTTCAAGGGGTGTTTCTCAAAGGAATTTCCACGAAAAAACCAATGAAACCTCGCTCTAGATTTTTTGTTCCATATTTTCGAAAAACATAAGCTTTCAAAGTTTCCAGATGTTGTCCGACTTCTCCTATTGGCTCGACCAACTGTGCGCCATTGTGGAAATGGCCTAAATGACTAATTACCACACGGGAAATGAATCAGAATGCAAGAAATCACAATTTGTCATGGGAGAGGCAGTTCTGAAGTCCGCGCTACTGCTGGTTTATTCGAAACTAGCCCAGTAAAGCCCTCAATAAAAATTAGAAGGTGATGTAAATCCGGGTAAATTTCAAGAATAAAATTAGAAATAAAATATCTCATGAAATCAATATGTTTATAATTTGAGATCCCAGCATTTTTGAACTTGACGACATCCTCCCATGAATTCACGATATATCGTTTCCTGGACGAAAGAACGTAGCTGCATTTGGACGTTGTAAAATTTACCCTTGTCATTTATTGTATTTTTATTGGGGTACTGTTGGCAATTTTTTATTTAGAAAACCTTTCATTTTTCTACAGATTACAAAAATATTTCTACGAAATTCGAGACAGAATCGGAGTGATATTTTTCGCTGAAAAAAAACAATCATTAAGTAAATTTTGCATCCTTGGAATTGAGTTACGTTCTTTCATCTGGGGAATGACGACTTTATGCTTTTGAAGTGTGTCCAGGCTCATGATCCCTTTCCGACGAGCGACATCCAAACGGTAGCGGTAAAGGAAGCACGCCGTATAAGCATTTAAGGGTTGCCAAATTTCCAGGAATAAAACATGTATTTGTGAGGACAATTGTGCGAATTTGTCCTTGAAATTTCCACACATTTTAGAATACATATTGCATAAAATTGTCCGAAAATGTTGAAGAAAAATATGCACAATTTTTCTAGTAAATTTGGTTTTTATTGAAGGAAATATGGCAACATCTGAGGACTCATACGGCATTCTTCCTTAGCACGGCAGATTAAACGTAGCCTTTCATTTCTCGTAGGAGAGACGAAATTCCGCAAGACCCCTCCAATTACGCACAGGCAGGGAGTCACGAAAAAAATTTGTCAAGGCGGCACACAAAGAAAAAATCAAGTTCTCACCGATCCCAATCTCGCGTGGAGGTGGGTCCTCCACAATTTTGGCGGTGTATTTGCCATGAATGGATCCCAAGTTCAGAATAATCACGAGGAAATGGAAAAGAAAGCGTAATTGAACAGGAAAGCACCACATTTCGTCACGACGCCATGCAAGTTGACTGACTCGGGACAGTCGCCCGGCTAAATTTAGATTCGGGACCTGAACTGGAGCCAATGAGCAACGCACCTATCCCATGCGATTTCGAATAAAAATGAAAGTCCCGCTGTCAAAATTCAGCCTCAGAAAGCGACTCTTCGCGCACACCAACCTGGTGTTGCCGTTTTTGGTAAGAAAATGCACCTAACTTGCACTCGTAATGTGGAAAATTGGGATTCATTTTAGTCATTTTGGCAACATAGTACAAGTGTTGCTACATTTCTGGAAGAAAATTCGACATGGTGGCACTATTGCACATTCGAGAACGATTCGATAGTCAATCGATCAATTGATAATTTCTAAATTCAGTAGCAGTTCATGACTGCAGTTCAGCAGTTGGCAACACTGTTTTTCTTCCGTTTAAATGTATGGAAAATAATCGATTCTTGGTAAGGCAGCTTAAATTGACCTAATATCGATATTTTTAATGGATTTAAATGGAGGAAAAACAGCGTTGCCAACTCTCAAGAACCGCCACTGTCTAGCTGAAATGCATTTTTCAAAAACCACTAAATGGTATAAATTTTGCCATAGTGGGTAAGGTTTAGGTATTTCTATCCTAAATTTTATTGGAAATAATTTGGAAGTATATCCTGATAAATATCGCAAATTGAAAGACCGAACGGCTTGGGATATTTACTCGGGAGTCATAGCGTCATATCTCCCGATCAAATTTTGAATATTAATATCTGACGCACTACAGCCAGACGTGACTTTCACAGGTTTTTGTAAATGCCTTAGATTTTAAAAGAAAACAATTATATAATAGATCTTTAAGCGGTTTTGAAAAAAAAATGACCAAAATTCTTTTCTAACCCCTGCAATGTATTCTGAGAGGCATTCTTGGCGAGTTGGCAGCATTGCGTACACCCACACTTTCCCACTCCAGCCCCTTCCCTGGGGAATTGCAACCATACCCGATCGTACTAATTCGTTCATTATTTTCGGGTCATGGTCAACGTCAGTAGAGATTCTTGCTCGTTGGCAACGCTATTTTTCCTCCATTTAAATGTACTCAAAACAATCGATTCTGTAACTGTTAAATTATGATGGAATAATCTTCTAGGCGAGGCAGCTTGTCTCGTCTATAATCGACACATTATGGTGGATTTAATTTTTAATTTAACTGAACACCAATGGATTTTTGACGCGAGTGAATGTTCGACTACTTGCGCGCATAACTTCTCCTAACACACACACCCCCCCCCCCCCCCCCCCCCCNCAATGTACATCGGTCCGCTCACTTGGGTTCACCTGTGTCAAAAGTTCTTGCGTCATTTGCCGACTTTAAATGAGGTTTTCTCGAAATTGAAAAATATAGTTCAACTCCCTTTTCAACTGAAATCGAAATGCTTCGCTCTTTATTGCTAATGATGGGGTATCACCCATATTTGCGAGAAAATTTAAAAAATGAGGCCCAATTACATCTTTCCTACCATCGACCGAGGGTTGAACACGTAGCCTTTGAAGCACCACTACAAATAAGACAAACGGAAACAAACACAATGTGGTAACAGAGCGGAGGAGAGGACGCGCCTTAATGACGGCGCAGGGATACGACTATTCGTGCTTGATGGATGTCCGTGTTGCATCCACAAAATTGAAGGCGCGATGGTGCTAGGCGTGAACTCGCAACGCAATGCTTTTTCTCACTACTGCAAATGAGGCGTCACTCGATTCGGTAGAAAAGCTAAAAATCCAGACTTGATAACGTCTCTCCTATATCTCCGACTGTGTTGACACCAAATTTGTTCGCAGTTTGATGTCTGATTGTTTTTTGAGGATGCACTGAAAGACATATATTTTACTCTATTATGTACCGGCCCCATATAATCCGCGGGGAGCGTGTTTTTATCAAACCTCAGGTCAATTTGACCTGGTTTGGGCATTAGTTTAAATATCGACAGTGAAATTACCAGACCACGTATCTCCACTCCCATTTTATTTTATTAAAAAGGAACAAATCAATATCATCTCTTGAAATTTTCACAGAGTTTTCTTCCCTCAGAAAGGAAAAAAACATGGAAGTTTTCAAGTATTATTGACGTTGAGCAGTTTCCCATTTCAAAAATGAAGTATGACCGGAAGTCTGCAACGTCGCAAACCTAGGTACGTGGTCTGTTATTCACCGTTGATATGTTTCATACATACAAGATTTCCGTCTCGGCAAATGAACTCTAGCCGAAGAATAGAGACGAGGCTTAGGTAGTGAAAATCTGTCCATGAAATGACCTGCTCCTCGGGCGACGAAACCTAACAGAATTCTATCATAACGCCTGGATGCAACTATTTGGGCTCCATGGATGTCTGTGTTGCATACGCTCGGAAATGAAGGCGTTTTGACTTTGCAGGCACTTACCGTGTAGCGTCTCACTTGTTTCTCGGCAGTGCGGACGGGCAGTACTGCGAAGATCCAAAAAAACAGAGCGCCTATATGTATACTACAAAGACAACTCTTAGACTTGCATAGTTGCTCTACAAATAACTGCATCCCACCATTGTGCATTATTCTTGCTTATCGAGATGTCTTTGTAGAATGAACGAAGATTGAAGGTGCTCTGTCATTTTGGATCCTCTCTGTAGGTACAGCCCGGCATTGCCACGCCGCGCCTTCGCTTACAGGATAGGGAGATGTCAATTGTATCCTGCCAGTTTGGATTTTTTTGTTCCTTGTGTGTTTTTTGGTACTTAGGTACTTGTTACTTTTTGTTTGGTTTTCTTTCAGCTACTTACCTGGGAAACAGCAAACGCCCGTTCTCCAAACTCCTTCCGACGATTTTCCCGCCTTTTTTTCCTTTTCATGGGTGGTCGAACGGTTTTCCCGACCCCCTCCCCCCCCTAATGACGCCCCTGCTTCAAGAATGACTGAACGAATAAAGTAAAAAGTTGGGTATCTACGATTGCGTGGTTCCAAAGTCTCCGCTTGTACTTAGTCATTTTTTAAAAGAAAACTAACCGCCAGTGTTTTCCATGACATTTTCCGTTAATTTTCTCCGTTACTTTAAAAATTTTTGAGGAACATTTGAAGATTTTAGCATACTGCTTTCTTTTATAAAAAAAGAAATAAATCGGAAAAAAATCTTAATGTGGTAAATTCGCACCTAAGAATCGTAGATTTCTGAACGCAGCATTGAAGACACGCATTTTTCAAATATTCAACCAGGATGTGGGAACAATCAGACTGTTGTTTTTTATAAACCCTTGTACTTTAAAATCCTCTCAACACAAGTTCGGTTCACACTTTATTCGTTGACAACATCAATTTTTGTAAATTAATTTTCATTAGTCTCATCAAGTTGTGAGGAATTTCGCGCCTCTAATAGGCGGATCAATGCCGCGCGATTGCAATGTATTCCTATTTTTCTGATTGGATATTCTGGGTGTGGGCTGTCAAACGAATTCCAGAGGAACTTGACATCACTGCCTTCCGCTACGTCATGAATGGTTGATTTCAGGAATTAAAAAATAATAAACAAAAGAACATTTTTTTATACTCGCCCGGAATGTCTATTACATTAGTATTGTTGCCCTTTATTTTTATCAGTGACCACTGCATTATCAGTCCCAGTTATTAGTACGTTAGATTTTGGATCGTTTGCTTAGTTCTTGCTGATTATTCAATCTCACTCGTAAATTACGTCGCCTCCACACATAGAGTACACGCTAATTCCATCTTTAGGTTATGTTCTGAGAAATTTTTATCAATTAATTAATTCGATCTTTTTATCCTTTAGGACACGATCCTTGTTCCGCTAAGGTGTTTTCGGTGTTTTATTAGTTTTATTCCAAGCACTGTTGTTTCAGTAAGTATGCATCAATATTTGGCACCATCTAGCTATGCAACGATTTTGATTTCATTGCTGCTTACTCTAAGAGCTTTTGTCTAAATTTATCTCACTTTAGTTTGTTTATTCCTGCACTATAAAGTAGAAACTTCATAAGCATTACATATTTCGACTTTTTCTTATGCTTTTACATCATGTAAACCCTCTATTTTTCCTTAAAATTATCTCACTGAAAATTGGTTTAGTAACGCTGAGATTCTGTTTTAATGCTGCATTCTATGTTTCTAGTGTGCGCAAGTTGTTACTTGCTGATGGAAGCTAAATCAACAAGTTTTCATGATTATTTTTACTTTACAAATAATTTTATCAACCCACTGATAATCTATTTGTCTCTCAAGATTAGGTGCACTCATGCAGAGATAAAGGCAATGCAAAACTTTTAGTGAGCGTCATTTTTAAGATGTTTAATTTGCAATGAACGTTCCGTAAGACGCTAACGCATCTAATTGGGCCATAATCTTGCTAACGCATATACTGGTTGTTATAGCAGGGGCCAACCACAATTTAAAGCAGGCTAAAGTATTTGAACTACAAGTTGCTTCTTTGGCATATCTTCAATACTCTCTTTCACCGTAATCATTGGATTTTATTAAAATTCAGTAAATGCACTCCTCCTTGTACTAATGTAACCAACTAATCTGGTTACTTAAATGTTTTCTAAACCAAAAGTTCAGTGTTTCAGCCCTATGTCATGAAATCTAATACATGATCTTTTGGTTTTTTTTTTTTTTTTAAAAAAAATTTGGATTGAGTAATTAAAGGATATTATAGCTGCAGAATGTATTTTTTCCTGAGGGAGAAGTTCCTGTAAGCATATAGGTTTTCAGTTTTCATAGGTAACATAATGAAGCATTGCTTGAGAAGCTCTTTTGGAGTAGCTTGTGAATAGTAACTGGCTCCGCCCTGCAAGCACTTATTAAAGTTGATTGTTGACCTTATTTACGCTACTCAGAGTGACGATACTAACAAAGACTAGTTTGAAAATCAATTTACAGTACCTATCAAAATTGTAATGATCTATTCAAAGGTTGCAATCTAAAACGGGCCATCTCTAGCCTTCAAATTTCAAGAATTAAAAAAGCCTTAATTTTAAAAACATAGTCCTATAATTTGCATGAATCCACCTATTCATGCAAATTATAGGACTATGTTTTTAAAATTAAGGGTTTATTATTTACTTAAAGCCTCATGATACTGATTAATATTCAAAATAGATAGGGAAATCCAATGAATCATTTAGATCTAACATTTTTCAAAAATTAAAACTTATCCTCTTCATTTTTTTTTTTTTTATCTTGACATCAAGCGCTCTTTTATCTCTCTTCCTTCTTCTTGATTTTCAGAAAAAAATACTCATCCTTTATAATGACGCTAAAAACATGGCAGCAGTAACTGAAGCAGACCATTCAGTGAAACAAACGGTTTCGATCGAGAGGAAACATGAGAGCATCTCCAAAAAAAATAGCGCACCAGAAATTGAAAATACCAATCATTTAATTGATGCACTCAAAGAGGGGCCGAGGAAAGGACTTGTCCAGTTGAAAAACTCCTTTCGAACTCTCTCATCAACTCCAAGACGTCCTATCGAAAAAGGTGAGAGTTCAGCTCTCTTGATTTCGTAACTACATACTTTGCTGGTATCATAATATCATAGTTTCAGTCTTAAGAATTCTTCAAAAATATTAGTATCTATTGTAGTGCTGAGCTTCTCTAATATAGTTTAAGTAGTAATGTAGTAATTAACAGATGTAAGAGCAGATAAAATGTTCATGGAAAATTTAAACTATCTTTTGGAACTATGGAAATCACTTTGAATGATGTAGCAAGCATGCAAATGTAGTGTCTGACACATATAACCTTGCAATTATTTGAATTTTTGAAGTTGATTTAAACGTAGGTATTCTTCAAAATACTAAATGAAAACCAATTTCTTTGTCGCTTTTACTATTTTCTTTCCTGTTTGCGGAAGTTTCTGTAAATCTCGAGAAGCCGATGGAATTTCTCAAAACCAAGTCAGTTGAAGATGTCACAAACTTTAAAAGTTGAACCACTTAGTCAACATGTGACTGTAGCCTCAACTAAACTATTTATCTATCCAGTTAAATTCACCACCCTAATTGCTCGAATTTGATAGGTAATTAAGAAATACGTCACAAGCAAATCAATGCCCTGTGTAGAGAATGGCTTTTTACAGGCTTTTGCAAGTTATAATTGAAAAATATTCTGCACGACAAGGAGTAAGTGATTCACAATCTATAAGACACCAACTACCAAAGTTGATTGAACTGTAATAGACATTAAAAAGATGCACTGAGCACTGACTCCTGAGTAACAACTTTGAGCTTATCTGGATTCCCACTCAAAGCTCAAAGCAACTGAGACTGAGAGTGTATTGATCAATATTCCTGACTCCCTTCAACCCTACCCCTACCCCTCTCTTGACTGCTCCACCCCTCCCCTCCACAGTGCCACCCTCCATTCATCCTTCCCTCTTCCTCTAAAGTTTTTGATCCTGTGGAAATACTGTAACCTCTACACCTCTCTGGTGACACTGTCTACTATAGCTTTAAAGTGTCTCTCAAGAAGTTCAACGATAGTTTTCATATTATCGTCATTGTAACCATCAGAATATTTGTTTTTCTCCTTCGAGCTGTTGATCAATTTTTAATTATTATATTCTGTTGAATTTTTGTTGGTTTCCTCTGAAATCCAGTGAGGTTGTCATTTTTCTATTTCCATTTTTTGCTGCTGTCTCTCTTTGCTCACAGCAATCAGAGGCTGTTATTACTCACTTTTTTCGGTTGCCAAACCTTTGATTAAAAATTATCTTTCACGTACAAAAAAAGCTCATGCAGACGTTACGGAAAAAGACTAGTCCTTGTAAATGTAAGTGTCTTTGTGGGATTTCTCTCTCTCTCTCTTCTCCTCTTAACTTATTAGAATTTTCTCTATTTGAATGTGTCTTTTGTGTATTTATGCTGAATTGAGCTATTGGACATCATACCATAGCTCTTTATGCTATCAGTCAGTGTGTGATTTTGCTGAAAAGCATATTTGTTTCTTAGCAGCCATGCTAGCTCAGTTTTCTTCTTTTTTGCCTGCCTCTCTCCCCTTTAAGGTTTCCTTTTTTCACAACACAAAATTGCGTTGATTGTGTCACGATCACACCGACACTTCTACTATTTGGCTCTTTAGTTTTTAGCTGTGAATTTAATTTATAACGGCTATAAATTTTTCTCAATTATCTCGAAGCATACGCTGTAAGTCAATTTTTAATCAGTGAAATTATTTGGCTGATTCTGAAGAGAACTTTTGTAGGTATAATGTATATATTTTATTTTTTATCATTTTGATTTGACAGTATGTGAATGAATAATTTTTTAATACCTTTGTTCAATTCGTACTTTTACGTTACTGGTAGCTGCTGCCCTTGCCGCATTTTGTAAACTTAAAAATTAGAAGTATCATATTGGATTAAAGTACCCATTACTGATTTATGAAACTCTGATTATTGTAGAATATGTACAAAAATGCAAGGCAGTGAGGCTTTCACATCCTTATATCGTTGTTGATAAATTTAAAATCGACAAGAAGACCAACAGATCAGACCTTGCTCAGAAGGATGTTAGGTCATGAAAGTTTTGGCTTTAATTCTTTTCAGTTCCTTCAAAATTTGTAGACTTTTACATTGCTTTTAAAATGTTGACCTAATCAGAGTACTTTTTCGGTTTTTTTTTCTCAGACAAAAATGAGCCTTCCAGATTCTTGGGAGAAGGGGTGAGCTACAAGGCAAAGCTCATAGGAATTCTAGAGGTTGGAGAGGCGAGGGGGGATAGAATGTGTCAAGAGGCTCTCGCTGATCTAAAAATGGCCATTCGTGCAGCCGGAGAACACAAGCAGAGAATTACAATTAATATAGCAATAGATGGACTTCGTTTGAGGGATGAAAAAAATGGAGTAAGTATTTATTCAATCTTATAAAGTTAAGGTCACTCCATGCCAAATGAGTTTACGCGCTTATTGAGTGTAACAGAAGATCACCTGTCTTCAGTTTAGCACTGTAAGTAAATACAGGTATCAAGATGGCGGATCTTCTGTCTCACTCAAAGAGTGTGTGAACTTATTTGACGTGGATTCCAAACCCAGCAGCATGTAAACATATAGGTGAGAATAATTTCTGTGCGACAATCTGGCAGGATGTGATAAAGATGAGGAAAGTGTCTATGAAAAGACAATACAACCCAGGCAGTCTTCTCATAAAATGAAAAATTTCTGTAAAGAAATGGTATGATTTTCATTTCTAATTTAAGAAACTACTCGCACTTAAAATGTAAAGAACGAAACACCACCTTAGGTAAAGTCTTATTTAAGCTTATTATTCTACCCACACTCACCTCCCTCTTACAGGTTTAGAGGCTAAGTTTTCCTTTACATTTTTCAATGCTGATTACTATTAAAATCTTACAATTATGTAGTTTAAGATGAAGAATACATAATTTTCTTGAATGAGAGCAACACATATTTTATTACTTTTTTGTTCGCTGCATCTCAAATAGTATTTCTGTCTGAACTGATTAAGATTTCAGTTTTAAGTGGTATTGAAAACACTAATATGTAACGTACAAGATAATTAATAATTTTGCTCCAGTTCAGATCTTTTTGTAGATGTTACTCAAGCAAGATTTATCTCATATTTTGTTTTTCAATTTTTTCAAGGAATGCCTCTATCATCATCCAGTCCATAAAATCTCTTTCATTGCACAAGATATCACAGACTCAAGAGCTTTTGGATACATCTTTGGGTCCCCTGATACTGGTCACAGATTCTTTGGAATCAAAACAGACAAAGCGGCCAGTCAGGTATGTTCATTTGTACTTTTATTTGATTGCAGAGTGTCATTTTCCACTGATATTTTCTCTCTGTCAGATAGTAAAAGAATGTACTCTAAAGTACAACTCCTTACTTTTTTCTCTCAACAAGTTTAATAAGTAGAGAAAACTTGTCAGATCTATTTTGTTTGATATTTTGTCGGAGAGTAGTTATTTTGTCGAGGATTGCTAAAGTTTACCAGTTATCTGCTGCAACAGTAAATTTACCTTGTATCTGTGCTCTGCAGATTATCTTCAAGCACAACTAAATTTTTTAAAAGTTGTCAAGAATGTCAAAGAGTGTCATTTTCCTCTGGTGTTTCCTCTCTGTCAAACGTTACTTGTCAATCTCACATCGTTGTTCTTTTTTTCTAGGTTGTTATCACTATGAGAGATTTATTTCAAGTTGTTTTTGAATTAAAGAAGAAAGAAGTTGAAATGGCAAAGCAGCACTTGGAGCAGCACCAAATCAAATTAGTTTCGTACCCATTATTGGATTCTTCCAGTGGTAGTAAGGTGCGTGTTTTTTTTTTTTTTCTACCCTAAAGTAATGAGCAAGCTGCCCTATCCTCATGAGTAAGCTGAGTTCCAAGATTAAAATTTGAGGGTACTTTTTAAGAGAACGACTACAAGAGAAATAAAGTTAAAGGTCTCAGCTGTAATCACAAAAAGTTTTACAAATCACATGGAAAAATATTATTGATTCTACTCTGAATTTTAGCCGTAGAGATAGAATACAGTATATCTGGAGTAAAGTCAAATCTTATGTACAATGGCACACACCAGAGTTGCCAGTTTGGTGCAAGTATGACTTTTTTCTGGTTATGACATGATCCTACTCATCTGACAAGGGGAGCTTCCCAAGTGTAACCGGAATTTCGAGTTGAAATTTCGCATGAAGATACTAGAGATGATTTTAGGGATGCCGTATTTTTTCGTTTTTTCGAATGGGGTCGGGAAAGCCCTCAAAAAAAGGGCTACAGATGCGGAAAAAACGCGTGCGCTAGCGGCACAAGGTAAACCTAGGTGATAGAGGCAGTGCATCCTTATCAGTACCACATGGCCAAACGGTAGCGCGCTCGCCTCGCAAGCGGGAGGTCCTAGGATCGTATCCTAATTACAGCTCGTAATTTTATTTTACTTTATGCTTGTTTATTTTTCACTTACTTTATTTTGCACCATTCGCTCCGCAAACCGACTTACGAGGTAGAACACGTAGTGACTGAAGATTTTTTACATAGGTATGCTGATAAAAACTCGAAGCTACTCTTGGATTGAAACGTTATATATAATTGAACAAACAAAACACTCTAAAACTCACCAAATTTCGTTGCCAAGCTGAATTTCCGGAGTATCAGTCGAATCTGTATGTGTATCTGACTGATACTCCGGAAATTCAGCTTGGCAACGAAATTTGGTGAGTTTTAGAGTGTTTTGTTTGTTCAATTATATATAACGTTTCAATCCAAGAGTAGCTTCGAGTTTTTATCAGCATACCTATGTAAAAAATCTTCAGTCACTACGTGTTCTACCTCGTAAGTCGGTTTGCGGAGCGAATGGTGCAAAATAAAGTAAGTGAAAAATAAACAAGCATAAAGTAAAATAAAATTACGAGCTGTAATTAGGATTCGATCCTAGGACCTCCCGCTTGCGAGGCGAGCGCGCTACCGTTTGGCCATGTGGTACTGATAAGGATGCACTGCCTCTATCACCTAGGTTTACCTTGTGCCGCTAGCGCACGCGTTTTTTCCGCATCTGTAGCCCTTTTTTTGAGGGCTTTCCCGACCCCATTCGAAAAAACGAAAAAATACGGCATCCCTAAAATCATCTCTAGTATCTTCATGCGAAATTTCAACTCGAAATTCCGGTTACACTTGGGAAGCTCCCCTTGTGAGTTTCAGAATGTATAAATTGAACAGAACAAAATAGAGTGTATTGTCATCATTAGGTATGCTTTGTTTTAGATCACATTTGGTTCAAATCTACGATGACTTGAGTGAGTGCCTGTTTTTACGAAGACTCTTCATTATTTGGCATTCTCTTATTTTGTATTTTAAACGTCCAAATGTTTTATGCGGAGAGATTATTGTTTAATCAGTTTGTGTCTAACACTTATTTTCCTTCCCCAATGCAGAGCTCAAGTACGGATGTCAGCCGAATGAAAACCATTCGAGAGAGCGACTCAAGCAAAAAGAGTGAACCAATAGCAAGCAATAGTAAGTCAATTGCAACATCTGATGCCATTGCAGACTTGCTTGATCTAGAAATAGAACTGAGCAGTATCCAGCAAGGAATCAGTCAGATGGAGAAACTGACGCCTTCTGACCCATTCGGGCCTTCTGCTGCAGGACGAGAAGATCCCTTCGGAGATTCATTTTCTCCACCTCCCGTCACTTCACCGCAACCAAACAAACTTCCCCCACCTCCATCAAAATTAGACAAATCAGATTCAATCAGGTCGTCCGACTCCTCTCACAAATCGTCCATCTCTAAAATGCAGCCTGACAAACACTGGTTTGACAAAGAAACTGAAGATATTTTTGAATCAACGGACTTTCCCAGCACCACTTCTAACAACTCCAGTACAGCTCCAACCAGCACCGCCTCTGCTCCCATAGCAAAAGAAGAATCTTTGGTATGTTGGCTCTTCTACTCATCAACCTCTCTGGTATCAAATTAGTTTGAAACATGTTGGTTTTCCCTGTATAAATCGGTTTATTCCTGAACTATCAATCTTTCCTAGAGAAAATTCAATTTTGCGGAAAATATGTGCAGGACAGAGAAAAATCAAGGTCATTTCTGTATTCTACAGCCAAAAAAAACATTATAAATCATGTATTGTATGCCTATCAAGTTTTCCCCTTCGTTCATAATATGGAGATTTTCCCGGTCAGATGCCCCTTTTTGCCCATTTACCATCATTCAAAGCTCATCCAATTGTTTTGGGTCAGAAAGAAAGGGACAAGAAATTTTTTTCGATGCACAATGGAATTATTCCTGCCGAATTTTTGCTTCTCAAGTCAAAAATAAGCTCCTGTATTTTCTTGCTCTTCTTACTTCTCCTTATTTAGTGGACCTTTTATCATGAGTAGGTGAGTCATCAAAATACTAGGGTAAACTTTTTTTATTTTCATATTCCAGTAAAGTTTTTCAATCTTTTTATGCTTCATTGTATTTCTCTTTTTCAGGATGAGCCTGTCAGTGTCAGCAGAAGCCCTCCAAAAAGCAGCAGGCTGATAGATGTCTTCACTGAACTAGATCCTCTAGGCACTGGAAGGAGTAAACCGTACGTAGACAAAAAAGACTTTTTCCAAGACTTAAAAAATCCCCCCAAGAAAGTTCTCAAAGACCTAGTACCAGAGCTTTCTGCCGATTTAATAAAGCAATTTGAGAAAAATTCAGATGCTCCTCTCTCTGCCACAATTAGTGAAAATAAAGGGCCGGCCTCAAATACACCCTCAAGCAAAGGTAGTACCTCTAATTTTCAGGGCAATGTGTTCTTTGAAGATCCATTTAACAAATCTGATCCATTTGAAGATAGTTTTTCAAAATCATCTGGCTTTGCTTCGTTTTCATCAGAAACATGCGATCCATTTGATAATTTTGCTGATTTCTCATCATTCAATGACACCCCAGACTCAGTTCCACAGAAACCAAATCAATCATTCTACAGCAATGAATCTCAGACTGGTCCTCTTAGAGTTACCTTACCTCCGGAAAAACAATCTAGTGAATCTCAAAGCAGCGTTCGGAGTCGCCAGTCTAGTTTGAGCAGGCAACCGTACTCTGGTGGCTTAGTCAAAATTCCCAGTCCGAAACAAAAACCTAGATCCCGTCTATCAAAGCAGGTTACAGTTGAATCAACGGTGGACAGAACCAAAACCGAGAAATTAGGAGAAGTATCAAAGAACCGAAGCCTAGGCACACCGTCTCCCACTAGTTTTACTGCTCAAGCTGAAGAAATTGATGAGAAAAGTAATGAAACTGCACCCGAACCACCACCTAGACCAACAGCAAATCTTACATTCATAAAACCTCCACCTTTGCCTCCGAAAAAGCAGCAGAACATGTCTATAATGAAACCACCACCACGGCCTCCATACAGTGATTTATCTCATTATGATTATATTGAAAATTATGGAACTTCTATAGCTCCTCAACCAACTGCAGATGAGAAAAGTCCTCCTGTACCTGTACCCGCTCGGCGTCCACGGTTCGGGGCTCCGACTAATAATGCTCCTGAGAGGCCAAAAAAGCAACAAAGTGGCAACGTAGATTCAGATTATTATTTAACACCATTTCATCTCTTGCCTCCTCCGCTGAAGAAACCTGCAAAAACGAATACTACCTCTTCAGCGCCAAAATCATTAGATATCACTTTGAGTCAGTTAACAACCACAGGGTTCAGTGAATTGGCTGAGTGGCTGAACATGTCTCCAGTTGCTTTGTCCAAAATGACAATGCAAGAATTATTTACTCTTTTATCGAGCATGAATCAAAGCCAGTCAAACGATGTTGTGAATGGCTCTACCGTAAATGTTGATGCCAAATCAAATACAACTATGCACAGAGAAAAGAAGACTTCGGCTTCGGAAAGCCAAACAAAAACCAACGTGTCTACATCCGCAGGGATAAATTCAACCCCACAGCCCCCTCCATTCGTTGCTGATTTTGATAGTAAATTCAACAATATTTCAAAACCAGAAGATCCTTTTCAAGATGATACCCTCTTTGACAAATATGCTGTGTTTAGAGAATTACTAGAACAAGAAAAAACCAAGCAAGAGGTCAACAATGTTGATAAGAAGGTAGATATCCAATCTGAGAGTCCTATCCCTGAGAAAAGCAGCGCACCGCCAAAAAGTGATGTAACGACATTCAAAGCTAAAATTAGTGAACCACAGTCGGAAGATAGGTACGCAGCTCTGAGAGATATTTTTCTGGAGGAAGCTGAAGACAGGCAGGAGTGTAGTGATAAAGATGAAAGTCTATCCGATCAAAATAATGGTCAAGGTGAGGAGCACATGGATTTGCTAACTCTTTCAAGACAACAGAGTGAAAGTACTGAATCACCTAGTGCTACAATCCGAGAACCTCAATCTATCATGGAAACAACCATAATGGAGGAAGATATAATTGACGATGAAAATGATGATGTCGACGAAGAAGAAGAAGCAATATTAGAGCGAAAAGTTGAGTTAAAAGAACCGCTTGACAAACCGATGAAGCCAATATTGTCACCATCAAACTTAAAATCAACAAAAAGTGACAAATCCATCTCATTTTCTGATGACAACTTCAGAAAGTCATTGGAAGATTTGAAAATAAACAAGGAGGATAACATTTTCGAAAAGGCATGGGAGAAATTCAACTCAAAAGAGCCAGAATTCAATGATTCCGGCTCTGTAAACAAGAGCACGTCTCCATGGTCTGTTGATACTGATGATGGTAGTAAACGGTCACAAAGTCCATCGTGGAAAGGAGATGTGAGTTCCAAACATTGGAAGAACAAAAGACACAAAACTCCAAAAAATTGGCAGGAAGATGATGAATCAGATGTTGTTGATAGAGGAAGCAGTTCACGTGAGGAGTCACCATGGCGGGAAAATGGATGGAGTAATGGGGATGAAACTCCATCATATCATCAAGACAGATATCCTAGAAAAGATAAGAGAAGACGAAATTATCCACGGAGAATGCCCTCTAAAGAACCGTGGGATGATACCAGAGAGTACCCAGAAGAAATTTATCAATCCAGACCCAAGTATCGCAGCTCCTCTCGGGAAGATGATCGTAGGAAAGCAGAGTATGAATACTGGAAAAAGCGGAGTTCTCCATGGAGCTCCAAGTCGGACAAACGAAGTAGCAGAGAATCCTTGAATCACGACGATGACCGATATCCGAAGAAAAGTTTTGGTGATAGGAGGAGGAAGAGGTGGGAAGAACACAACTATCCAAGAAGTGATCGAAAAGGTCATTACTACAGAGAAAGAGATAGAGATAGAGATAGGTCACAAGAGTCTTTATGGGATGATGAGTTTAGTGAACCTGGAGATGATGAATTGCCACGAAGCTCAGGTCGTAAACCAAATTGGAGGTCAGGGAGACATTACTATCCAGAACCAGATGAAGATTATGTTCGGAGACCAAGAAAGCCTTATAGCCATGATGAACAAAGTGAATCAGAATCGGAATTCTCACAGCAGAGTAGAAAGTTTCAAACTTTGCAACTAAAAAGGGTGAGTAAGAGTCGAAGACGCAATCAAAATTCACCTTTTGAGGACGAATTTAGCCCCCAGTCATTTTCGTATCCAGCTTCATGTAGGAGTCCAAACATTGGCTCGGACCAGTCAGAAAACAAACTGTCGCCCAGGCAAGATTTCAATTCTACATCAAGTGAAATGAGTGCTTTTAAATGGAAGGAAGATCGACTCTCTGTGCCGTATCACAAGGCAGACAAATTATCGGATGAGTCAGAGGAGCTGAACCAAGGAAAATTACAAAGACACCCAAGTCAACGGCAATCACCCTTTGAAGACAATTTCACGCCTCCTGACACCCGAAGGTGCAGTGGGAGAAGTGTCTCGAGTGATGTGAGTCGTGATGAAGATTTGAAAAATGGAGATGATGTCTTTTTGTCGGCTGGTGAAGCTAGCGTTCAGGCCAACAGCTCAAAAAGTAAATTTAGTGATCCGAAGCGTGCCTGTGAGAAAACAGAGAAAATAGGGAGCAAACTCCGTGAAAGCTCTGAAATTCAGTCAGAGGATTTGCGGAAAAAACGATTGGGTAGGCAAAGTAGCATCGAGTTAAAATCTCGAATCTCTCAACTTCGGAATCAAAATGAATCAATGTCTAGTCTTAAAAAATCCGATTCGATCAATATTTTTGCTCGTAGTAATGATCCCTTTGATGATGATGATTTTTTCAATGCTGAGAAAGCGCATGCAACCATTCATGAAGAAGAGCCAATAGACAAAGCTGAAGGAGACAAAAGTGCAGTCTCCTTTAAATGGACACAGGATTTTAATTCTTTCAATTTCTCTGATGAGAATAAGTAGGTAAATGTTTAAGTGCTTCCCTGTAACAGCCAGCAAGGCTTAGAAATGTGACTCAACATTAATGAGTCTCTGTTGTCTCTTTTACACATCTCCAATTTCTAAAATTTAAGTATGAGACAATAACTATTGAAAAATCCAGCAAATAATTAATTTCAAACCACTTTAACCCAAGAAAGGCTCCGTGTCGCTTCTCCGAATCGTTCTTACCTTTTCAATTGCACAAAAATTTTAGGTGATTAGAGTGCCAAGTCTGCAGTAAAATGTGTCTGCTGTCGAGTCCCTGTATCATTTAAATTGATGGCCAGTCTTTTAAATAATGAAAGTCTTGACTTGTAATCTTCATCAGACGCTAGGCATTTTCTTTCACATCATTATTTGAGCCCCGATTGGTTAAAAATTGCACCAATTGGTGAGTATCATTTTTAGGCTGAGATTTATGTGATAACTACAAATATCCTGGTTTATAAAAACTGTAGCCTAGTTGAGTTTTTTTTTGTAACTATCAGAAAGTCTGAAGATAGTGTTGCAGTAAAAATGAACATTTCTCCGAACACAAGCAAGAGAAATCCTGCGTCAATGATTTATTGTCTCGTCGATTTTTTCTAATTTTTCTATCCAGATCTTAATTATTGCTGTGACGTAATCTCAGCTCTGTGGACTATGGTTCACATGTATGAAAGAGATGACTCTTACCTTGCTTTCTCCATAAATTAGAATTATCATGAGTGTCTTTACCCATTTTTTAAAAAGATCTGTTAATTTTTTTTTAAAGTTTGACATTTCTTATGGTTTTATTTCAAAGAAAAGATCAAGCGTGTCTCACAGGTTCATCTCTAAAAATCACCTGCTATTTTTGCCTCTCTAATTATTAGTAGTCTATTTTTTGTCTGTAACAATCTGACTATTGTTTATTATTTAACATTCATACTCTGACCAAGTGTATATTTTGCACTCATGCAATACAGTTTTCCGGTACTCATTTAGCTTTACCAAGGCATTTAGTTGTAGAGTTTTTCCTTGTTGTCAGTTTTTACTATTTTAATTCTTCACGAACTAGTCGCTACACAGCCCCACTCATTTACTTTTGTGCTTATATTTATTTTAATGTATTTGTTCCATAACTTGCTTTTTGTACATTATGATCATTTGCTTTTGATCTTTTTACCGTTTTTTATTATGGATGAAAGATCTGTGGAAGGTCATGTTGATTTAGGAAATAGAATTCCAACTATGCTTCTCTCTTTTAAACAATTTTTACTTTTACACTGAATTAATGTTTAAAATGTGCAAAGTCAATTTTTAAAGTTCCATTTTTCAAATCCCCTTTTACCTCTCTTTTTTATAGACTAATTGATTTTTTTTTATCAGAAGGCATTTTTGTAGAAGCTCAAATTCAAGAAATTTAAATAAAGCAAACCAAGAGAATGAAACTTTAAAGTAGTCGAAATACCCTTTTTTGCCTTTTGTTGTGAAGCCAGTTGGGTATTCTGTCACCATTTTCCATTTCTCTCTTTTTTAGAATTTTTGAAGCATATAGTTGCAAACAATTAAAAAATGACTGTAAAAAATTTCTATGAACGCTTAGAAAATTGATGAAATTAAGTAAAAAAGTTTTGCTCTCTTGGAAAATTTTTTTTTTAACAATTTATGGAGGATTCAATCCAGCCCCCTAAATTTGGAGTCAATTGTATTCTGATGGAACCGATTTTGCATGGTTTGTATGAGAATTAAAGTAAGCCTTAAAAAATGATCCTCAGGACATCACATCCTTTGGAGCATTCCACAAGATTTCTAAAAATTTGTAGGAGGCAGATGTGTCTACCTTTCTGTCATATAGACGCATTTTTATTCATGTTTCATTTGAGATCATTTTATTTTTTCATCCTTTTGTGGTGAAGAGTCGGTTCAATTTAATTTTTTTTTTTCATCTTGAGCCCTTCCTTCGTTTCTTTTTCCGCAACTAATTACTCGTTCACTTGCTCTTTATTCTGAGCCCCTCTCCCTCCCCCTGGTTTTTTTCAGTCCCACATAAAAATTCAAAAGGTACTCTGTTTACTGAAGAGTGTTTTTGTGACCATATAATCGAAATCCTTGATTAAGTTATTTCTGTTACTTTCATGGGATTTGTGCACTGTCAAATGTAGGTACTATAGCTTTTTCAGTTTAAATCCTTTCAAACTATTTTGTAAAATGTACTCAGTTGGTGTTTTCTGATGGAAGTGGACCATTTTTTATGATGAACTCCCTTTAATGTTTTGATGATTTGCTCTATGAGATTTTCTGACGTATACCTAAATATGTAGTACAGAAATCATGAATAAAAGTGTAAATTTTCCTATAGAACATTGATAAAATTTTATTAATGTTCTGCAATTATAAAGAATGGCTTGCTTGAATGTGATAAGGTAATTTGGTGTATTTCCTTGTTATTTTGGAGATATGGTTCTTTCTCAACAATTGACTCCTGTTTAATTACCAAAAGACTTCCATAAAAAGGGTATGTAGATTCCTACAATATCTTAAAAAGTCTTACCTATTAGAGAACCGCGTATGAACCGCAAAAACTTACTTTGATTTTATCAAGCGTGAAGGCACACAGTACCAATGTAAAGTGTATATGCTGAAGATTGATTCAGAATAAGGCGAACAGCTGAGTATGCGGTACACCTGATAGGCAGCGCTTAGTTTCTGCGACTGATAATTTGTTTTTTGTGTTTCGGTCCCTCTCCTGTTTTACCCTTGCTATAAATTTTTTCTTGTCAAATTTAAGATTGTTGTAGAAAATGTACAGTATTTTTATGTGTACATGAAAAATAACTGTTGAAATGTCATAAATTATTTATTATTTATTAATTTAACTTATAAGGGAATTTTTCTATTTTCTCTCTCTCTTTCTGTGTTAATTCAATATTTTTTATTTATTTATTTATTATTTTTTTTATTTTATTTTTTGAATTCACCACTCTTAGTAGGTACAAGCATGCCTAAGTCTGAAATAGCATCAGATCGCTGATTAAAACAGAAGATATTGCCTTTTTAAAATTTAAGCTGAAATTAAGTTAAGCGCGTAAGATATTCTCTTGCAAATGAACAACAAATTATATTTAGCAAGTTACTTTTAATAGCGGTGATGAGCTATTACTAATTTAAATAATTTTGATTGAATGGTATAATTAGGCTAAAATTTAAATTCCACAAGGCTTGCCATAATTAGCAGAAGTGATTGTTGTTTCTTTGTGCTTCCTTTCTTTGTAAGGTCAATACATAAGAGAACCATGAAAAAAAGAAATATATAATTTCCTTACTCCAACTTTTATGAGATGTTGCTTTTTACATTTGACATGTATGTATTAAGCAACCAGACTTTTATTTTGAATACAATATTGTGTCAAAAGTCTGAAAACCTCCTCAGGAGAAAGAATAAAACACCTAGTAACTTGTGAGACTATTTTTTTCTGGTTTATTAGTTTGCCGAACAGTTTTGCAAGTTGGAATATCATCAGTCTGATATCTCTCTAATTCTTACTATTTTTTTCAAACAATGCTTTGGTTACTTTGATTTCTCCATAATCGTAAGTAAACAGATAAAGGAGAGAGGGAAAATACAAAAACGTTAATGATTGTTAAAACCCTTGAACTTTGTTGTTGTTAGAAATATTGATTTGTGACTTTCACCTCGGGGGCCCTCTCATTCTGTAGGATTGCCCTCAAGTGGAATTAAATGGTTACGCTAGCGTAGACACCACCTTTCCTTTTAGCAAATGTTTGTAAATTGTAAATATAATTTTGTAAATTAATAATTTTAAAAGATTAATTGCATATCATAATGCCTCTTTTTTACTTGTTTTAAGTACTGCATCATAGCGCCTCTGTTTGTTGATCAGCTAGTGTGCGCTATTGTTGAAATTTTTAAGTTTCTTTTACGACAAATTTAATTGGTAAACATTTTTCTGTTTTGCAGAATTCTGTAGTTCCTATTTTAATTCCAACTTAATAAAAATCAGGAAATAACTAGTGAAAAAATACTCATACCTGCTTTACTGAATGAATTGTTGGTAAATTAATTAAGAATACTTAAATTGTATAATTCAAGACTGATTTAATTTTTGGAAAGTTTGATCCAAGATCACAATAAGTTGAAATTATGTTGAAAAATAAAAACAATTTTTTCTGCAAGGCTTAGAAATGCACAGCTTTTGCACCTTCTTCTGTTCCTTTACTGTAATTAACCAAGTGTCACTTGGATTGATGATAAGTGCTGCTAATCAATTATTGTGACCTGTGTGTTGTAATACTTTTAAAAGCCTAACATCCTTTTTTTACTGTCATTTTAGGAGGAGAAATTTAAGAATCTTTTACTTTGTATAATGTATAATAATAAATGTATGTAAGAAGTAAAAGTTTAGCATCAGCCCTCAGATTCTGCGCTCACTTGAATTTTTTTTCTTCTACAATTTTAAGCCAGTTTATCTTTCTTCTTACTTAATCAATGCTCATAAAGCCTGAAGGTTTTTGCTTTGTTGTAGGCGTATTAAAGTGTGCAGCTATTTAACAATATCACTTATACCACATTATTTCAAACTGGGTATTGAGCCACATCCTTAAGATCCAGGCTCTCATTTTTAGACACCAACGTCAAGCTCCAGGCCTAAACGGAAATAAGAAAGGTGGAGCACTGTTGGCTCCATAACTCGCGAATCACTCTTACTAGGGAAAATTCGAATATTTTACAATTTTTGACAGTACAACCAAAATTGATAAGGAACCTGTCTGACGCCCTGATCAGTTCGTCGGTTAGATAGGTTTCTAATCCATAAAAAATACTGTCTACAAGGTATAAAAATCTCTGTTTGTAATTTCAACCGCTTACAACTAACTAATAGGGGCATAATTAACCAAGCGTAATTAGTCGCTCAACTCATTTCTGCCCATACCAATACCAAGTAATTCATATTTTTGTTCTTACATTTCTGTTGTTAACTTTATTTATTCAGTTAAGTATTCGCAAAACTAACTTTAGTCCCTCTGTACTGATTATGCAGATCTACTCAATTGCGTAATTCTCAAGGTCTGGTGTAAGTAAGGAGATGGGGGGGGGGGATCTCAAAGTGTAAGCATAATAATTGGACAAATTTGACCAAAATCGGCTAACCACATTAGATGTTGGTTAATTTTCGCTAATGTCGTATTCTTTAAATAGGAAAGTAAGCAACGCTGATTCTTGAACTTTTATAAGTATTTTCTTCATGATCTGGATAAATTTCACAGAGAGGTCGAAGGCTAAGTAGTTATGTTCTCCATCAAAGAAATAAAACATAAGAAATTAGGGAACGTGAAATGCTGTTAGGTTGATTCTGGTCAATCCTACCAGTAACTTGTAATTTTGTATTGATTTTTTTTTCTTTAATCATAAAGAAAATAAAGAGTTCAATTGAATGTAGAGCTCATTCTTTTCATACTTGATGCTCCGAGATTTTGCTATCACTTACAAGTTTATTTTATTTCGAGCTCTCTAATAGTGAGAATAAACGTTGTAGTGCATAGCTTATCTCAATGTGTATTAGTAAGTAGGCAGGAACAATAAATTTCATTGTATCAATGTTGCTAATGGTCAGCCTCTGTAAATTCTGTATCTCTTCAAGAAAATCCTGATTCTTATTCTTTAGCTGTAATTTAATTTTGCCCCATATTACCTTAAGTCCCAACCTAAAACATTTAAATCTAAAATTTCTAATTTAAGCTTAGCCAAATCTAAGACCACAACCCATTCCATTATTTATAGAATTTATATCGCCAGATACAGGAAAAGCAATTCTTGTTGTTTGATCTGCTTACTTTCTCAACCGGCAAATATTTCTACCTACTGAGAATCACCAGTGAAATCTTGTTTTGCAATATTCTTGCGTCTATCAAGTTATGAGTTATGAAGCTTGATCAGAGTTGATTCATCTTAAAATGTCAAAACATTTGACAGTAAAAAATTGAACTCTCGCTTTTACATAATTTTTTGTATTGATGTTTTTTTTTTTTTTTTTTTTTTTTTTTTCGGAGGAAGTAGCTCCACTTTTCATCTTGCCTGAACTTTCAAAGATTGTGCCATAGAGTTTTCAAAACTCAATTGAAAAGGACTTCTTACTCTTATTAAGGAAGCTGCAGAACAAACAGTAACTTTTTCCTTGAATAAGCAGAATAAAATATCATAAACCACCAAAAATAGTCCCCTCAGTCTGTGACAAGTGAGTATCTTTCATTGTATCAGTTATTGGTACACACGAGATTCTGTCAACAAAGTATTCACAAAAACGAATACTAACGAAGCAAAAGTAAGAGTAAATTTATGCACAAGATAAATAGTCTTTAACTTCCGATGAAAAAACTTCATCTTCACTACTTATCGCTAATTCCAAGGAAAAACGTACCCTTCTGTATGTTCGCTCCAAAAAAGTGAATGAAAAAAGAAGTCCTGAATTACTCGTATGTTGTGTCCTTAAGACATTACTAACCGGTTTAAAAGCCTTTACCATCATCTCCATTAATATGTATGTATACAATACTAGGATACCTTGGAGAGGTTTCATTACTTTTTGTTTGATGCAATTTTGAACTATGTATTATGATCAAATCTCCTAAAATATTTTCTAGAAAATGATTGAATCAGTAGTAATTTCCTCAAGACAAAAGTGTCTCTTCTGATCAAATTCTGCAACACCACAATTCTTAATCTCTCTACTTTTTAATCATCAATAGTTGTGTAAAATACTCTTAAAAAACTTAAAATGTAAAATATGTGCAATATTATCTTATTGATGTATTTACCTGACTTTTACAAAATAAAATTCTTTATACGAAACATTTTTTTTTAGAATATATCCTCCCTTCTGAAAATATCAGAAGTTAAACAAATAGAACCAGCAGCACAAATAGTTGTAGCAGCTATTGTAGCATCTGATAAACTAATACTTGTAGCATAGACAAAAACTCAACTTCATACTCAAAGTTATGATTGGACACATTTAGGCTAAAAGGAACTACAAATGTTGAACGCAAAACCTATGCACATATTTCCTTTCAACGTAAATATTGGTTGGTTGAGGTTTTAGTCACTACATCTAAGGAGACATTCTACCTGTATTTTATTTACGGACACTTTCTTCAAAAATTATAGAATGAAAGCTCGCCAGGATAAAGGCACCGAGACAAAAGGACTCCAGTCTGGGATGAAATGAAAAGAAATTAATACAATCCGGAATGGTTTTAAAAAATGAATTTATATAAAATAATGTATATATACAGTCAGATAGGCAACATTTAACAATCAGGTAAAAGCGTAAGAAACAGGCAACAAAGTTCATAAAACAAACTCTAAATAAAATATGCTTTCATTCATACATTGTAATCTGTACATTTTACATTAAATGAAGTAATTGATGGGTCATAAATAGACCGAAGGGAAAAGATTCGATTTCCTAAAGCCTTGAAGTAGTAAGCCTCTTGAACAGGTAATATAGGATGAAACCAACCAAAATAATGAGTTGGTAAGATGCAAGCTCAGAGAGCTGAAATGTAGTCTGGTCTAGTCCTGATCACATTGTCTCAAAGAGTGTATACATCAGTATGAATGTTAATTCTCTTTCTTTATTTTTTTTCAAAAGAAAGAAGTACAACTAATTAATGTGGACCTGAATTTCTCTCTTTCATACTGATTAAGGTTAAGAAATTTTTTGTAAAAATTAAGGATACAATTTTTAAAGTTTGCAAGTTGATAGCTAACGTGATAAAAATTCCGATAAAAACTTGAAGAGAAGAAACTTGAGATAAAGAACAGGTAAATTTAGAATATACACAGCTTTAAAATATTGGCGCCTCAGGAAAGGAACGAGAGATAGTAGATTATATTTCCCTGAAAGATAAGGAAGGATATGTTGAAAACGATCTTCTGGTAAGATACTTCCAAAACAGAGAGTTTATCATAGAAAGTTTTTAATAGGAAAAATTTTAAGACTACAGAATTCCTTCTTAACAGAAGTTTCAAAGACAGATGTTTTCTAACTTACAAATCTTAGATAGAGAATCTGAGTGACTGGGATAGTTTTAACCAGACAGATAGGGTTTATAAGTTGGCATATATGTTACTGCATACGTGTCACTGATGTATATTTACAATAGATGTAACTGTGTTTCAAAACTGAGGGATTATTTATAAGCAACTCGGCAGGCCCCTACAGTATAAACAAATAGGTAAATGGCTATTGTGTGAAAAGATGAAAATAAAACATTTGACTTATAAAAACTGACTTCAAAAATAATGGTCATATATAATCCTGATGTATTATTTCAGTTGCGATTAGAGGTGAAATATTAAAACATAAAATTAAAAAATAAAAATGAGTAGTCACGAAGGGTCAGGTAGCCTTCATTGATCTTTGGGAGAAGCAATAAATATACACAAAATCGAATGCTTGAATACTAAAGCATGCTCTTTGATTACAAAGTTTCAACATTTTGTCCTACATGTGCTTTCACTTTTTGGAGAGAAAAAAAACAATTTTCTTGCTTGTAATTTTCCAACAGGATTTTTTTTTTCAACGAGATGGAAAATCACAATGAAATTTTGGTAACAGTGTTTGTCTTCCTGCATAAAAAAATAAGTGAGGAGATGTTCTAATGTGGCGAATGAAAATTCATGCTTTTGCATCCAGGTAATCTAAATGTAAATGTTGAAACCAAGGAGACAAAAGATTCAGTCCTTGTTCGACTAATTTCAACACAAAAATTACATTCAGTCCAATTTAAGCTGGAAGTTCGATTTTCTTTTAAAAATGGACGAAGACTGAGTAGTAAAACTAAGTTCTCTAAGAGTATAAAAGTATGTAAGAAATTATTTCTGCAATATGAAAATACCTTAACAAATCAACCCCTGAATTTTATTGTCTTATTTTTCATCAAAAGTTGAATTTTACGGTTCCAGTCAATCTATTCTATCACAAAGCATTTACACACACTGAAATCAAGCCAACAGAAGTACAAAGACACAGAAGCATTCAAAAGGCTGAATAGGTAAGCATTCATGAAATACTGACACAGGCTAAAATGGCCGGAAAAAAGTAAATAAATACAAAGTAGAGGACAAATTTTTTTGTAAAAATGAGATCTTTCAAAAATTGAAAAGCTATAATTAATGAAAAAGACTTGGCTCAATTAAAAAATATATTTTGTCAACACAGAAGAAAGCAGACAATTTTGTCTGGGATTTGGCCATTTTACAAACCGGCCTCCTTCCAAATTCTGAAATTTTTGCTGCCATTTACATGGTAGCATCAGAACTGATCAATATTTTCTTTATTTTTTTATTAAAAATTGTGTGGGGCTTCAAAGATTACTTCAAAGTATTCATTCCAGGAGGGACCAAAATAGTTTGATGACAAAATAAAAAGACCCAACCTATGATAGAACATTTTAGATTATCTCTTATAGTAGATAAAAACAGATTATACACGTGATACATCCGCTTATAAAATCAAGAAGGATATGTATATATTTTTTAAATTCATGAAAGTTGCAGACATTGTGCTCCAGCTTTGTTGGATTTAAAAACAAACGCTCTTAGCTACTAACATGAAGGCATGAGACTTTTTTTTTTTGCTTCTTTTCTTTATTTGAATAAAAATACGATAGTTTTACAGCAAAGATCTCAGACTTGACCTTAAGAAGTCTTGCATTTTTATTATTTTTAAATAATAAGAGGGGGCAGGGAAAATTTTTTTAAAAAAATAAAAAATAAATAAATAATAATAGGAACTTATGATCAACAAAAGAGGACAAGGGAACATTTTGTGGGAATAAGAAACAAAATTCACTGTAAAGAAATTCATAAAGAGAAAAGAAGGAGAGGCTCTTAATTCCAGGAATTTTTTTTTAAACAGCTTCGTTTGAAACTAATAATGCTTTTAGAGACAGATTGTTCTACTTGATGACGTAATTATTTTTGCTAAAGGTGGAACCTTAAATGTAAACAATGAGAAGTTGTTGAAATTAAGGCATAAAATCTTCTGATATACTTTCAACGTAGACCATGAAAAAATTTAGATGGTACCCTAAAGATGTCCTCTTCAATTGATGAAAGCTACTAGATATGTCTTCACGATTAAAAGTAAAAGCATTAACACCGGGGATCCTTGAAAATGGTTCTTGACATTGCTGCACAAATCGTAAATTCATCGGAAACTTAAAATTAGAATGAGTTTAGATAGTACAGAGTATGAGTTGAGGTGGTACAAAATTTGAAAATTTTTTAATGGCGATAGTTCTCATCTGCACCACTTGCCCTGCTACAATGGAAAAGTGGCCTGAACGGTTCAATTTTGGGACCAATTGAGGTACAACTTTAAGAGCAAGACATTCTTGTATAAGAGAGAGTAGTCTTTTGTCATGATAAAAAATACAAAGGAATACATGAAAAAGTGAAGAAACAAGAGGGCAAACGGCAGTCACAGCTGGCCAGTAGAAAAATCACAGCGTGGATTCTAACCCTGAATGTGTATTTGTGTCTGAGTCATTACTCAGTGGACTGGAGTAATTGGCAGCTTCTTGAAGACGCATGAGCATATTTAACTGTGAACAAAAAGAGAAATGATTTGATTCAGATGGAAGGATGAATTTCAAATTTTAGATCATAGGAAAAAGTTGTGTTTAAAAAATAGGGCCAAAACTTTACAAAAAAAAAAAAAAATTTGAAGAGCCATTGATTTGAAACGCAAAACAGTCAAATCACAGTTGCACCAAATTTTGCTACCTTCTTTAGGCCTGTAACTCGAAGACATTTAATATCAGAGGCCAAGATAATTTTTCAGAACAGCGAGATTCATCATTTGCCCTGATCACAATATCTAAACATTCTTGGAAATTCAGCGACTTTTCGAGCAATAATCCGTCTCCTTTGCAAGTTTGGACCATCTCTCAACATTTTCATTGCAGAATAAGCGAATTTTGTTTTGTACAAAGAAAGTAAAGTCCTTTGTGGTATACTTGAAAGACTATTCAGTATTTTTGAGGGTTGGCTATTACTAAGCATTGCTTCCTTGAACATTAAAATATAAAAATAAACATACAGAGGGACAAAATAAATAAAACCAAATTTAACAGATCACCAAAAGAAGAATTTTATTCTATTACTCACAAGGGGATCAGCATCCGAATCAGAGTTTACTGATTTACTATTGGTCCCATTCTGAGCATCATAACCCACGTCTTCTGGAGAGAGTCTGGAGAGAACAAACAAAATAATTAAATTAAATATTCGGTTTGGAGATATCAAAACATGAGTAAAATGTGATAGACTTCACGTTGCAAGTTCAATGGTTTAGGTAGTTTGGAAAAAAATGACGTTAGGTTGACTCGGCAAGAATTGGCCTTCCTTGCTTCACATGGGGTCAGGCAGGTTCACAGATTTCGTACGACAGCCAGAATCATAGAATGAGGCAATAGAAAATAAATAGGCCAGAGCTTTCCTTTGAATGTTAAAAATTTCAAAGGTGAACAGTGGATAAAAAAGAAATTAGTTAATATTCATTTATTACATTTTAAAATCCGATAAACAATTTTCGGAGAACTTTTTAAAGGCTGGATCACATTTATTAGTAAGACCATTGAGAGAACAAGATTAGTAATACCTCTGAAGATTGGAAGGATCACCCGGCCAGGGATATGTGTGGACAACAAAAGAGGCTGGATCATGCCATGGTGCACGTTTTCCATACAGCTGTAGCCCTTCACGCACCATATCTTGTAGATACGGGATCACAGAGTAATTCCAGACATCTGTAAACCATGCTTGGGCACTGCCTGATTCAAGAGGACAGCCAACAAACACTCTCGGACCTACAGCAGAAAAAAGACGAAGAAATAATGAGAAGAGCGGTTGTGATTTGTTGATACTATGGAGATGTTAAACGTAAATCTCTTTATGCAAATTTCTTCCAATGAATTTTTTCAATGATTTGTAAAGAGATACAATTTACAAGTGGTTTGTAAAACGATTTCTCAGTATTTGGGTTAAAAAAGGTCTCGACATTCAGGAACAAGGGCTACGACTAATATTTCAGGGAGACATTATTTCAGACATAATCAATTTTACGTAGATTTAAGACTTCATTGAGACTTTAAAAATCAAACTCAATTTTGAATCACAACTTGACCCCAAGGAAAAAAACATGTTCATTTAGAACAGTGGAAATATTGTCTTTAATTTAAAACTTGCTTAAATCACAAGGAAATATTGAAAAGTAACATTAAAACTTTTAAAAAGAGTTTATGAGAACCATTTAGACTGAGATGACATACCAATGGTAACATCTGATGAGCAATGAGTTTCTAAAAATTGATTCAAATGATGCCAAACTCGCGGTAGCCACTCCACAACTCTTGACAGTTCAGTGTTACGCCGCCCAGAACGAGTTTCAATATCTACCAATTTTCTACGCAAGATTCGTCCCAGTAGACCTTTTACAGGTTCCATGTGATTGACGCACAATATCCATCTGCATGTACACAAAAAATAGAGAAATTAAAAGCCTAGCAGCAAACTTTTTTACAAAGGTATGGTAGAGGTGTATATGGTACGGTCTACCCACACTAAGGTCCCTAGTGCATACACTACTACTGAAGTTTATACATGAACACAATATTGTAGATAAATTAGAGTTTATTCATGCATCAGATCCCTCCAGAAAACTACCATTTTTCTAGGGACTAAATAAAGATGCTTTCTAAATTAGCAGAGACAATTTTGGTTTCACAAACCAGAATTTCAAAGCCATCAATATATTTGATGAAAAGGAATGACCATGGAAAAGTTGAGTACTTTTTTTCAATGCAGCTGACCTTTTATCATGAATGTTAGGTGCATTTTCAAAATGCATTCAAAGGTTCAGTTAGTGACAGCCATTTCCACTGCTGTAATTGGTAGTGGAAATGGTTGTCATGTGGCATGTTATTGTACATTGAGTCACTGGTCACTGCCACTGAATTTTATTTAGCGAATTTAGAACTATGTCTATATGATACTGGCACTGCCCTCAAAGATCCACTTATGATCTTATCAAAATCATGTGCAACAGCCTATGAGATCCTAACCCTCTTTCAGGAAGTTTTTTTACCTGAAATTGTGGTGCAGCTGCAGATCAGTGGTAGATGTCGTGGCTTGACTGATGGTTCCAATGATGTAAGGGTACTTGGCCGTGGTAAAACCATTGAAAAGTTCAGACAAACTATCGGCAGCGTGATGTAAATTATCTAATACTATGACTGACGGAAGCATTTCTGTTTCACAGGTTTCCGCGATATTGCACAACCATTGTTTCAGTTCTTTGTTACTTTTGTGTTCGACGCTGGAAAAAATAAGCAAAACAGAAAAAATAAGGAGGGGTCATAGCCGGAAGTCACCTAAAATTCAAAGACACTCTTGTAAATTGATGAGGAGAAACGACAATGAACTAGAATCGAGGGATCTTTCTTTAAAAAAATTTGAGACTTACTGCGCTCTCAACTGTCTCAGTTTTCTCAATCCGCAGGACCTACATTTGCTACAGGTTGCCCTAGCTTCAATGAAATTAAGCATGAAGCTTAACCTATTTGTCAGCAAGAGCACGAAATATAGCAATACTGAATTTTCAAAAGAGTTTCCTTTAACTGCTGAGCGCAACATCTAGCCCAGTAATGGAAAGGTTAATTACTATAATACAGAAATGATACTTACTTTACAGTGGCAACAGCACCTGTACTGGAGTCTTTGCCGAGCCGTAAAACTAGGAAGTCTGCTAATTTACTGGCTAAATATGATTTGCCAGTTCCACTCGGACCGCAAAGAATGATGCGCCGATGTTCTGTCAATAATGTAACATATCTGTGGAAGATGAAAGAGGTTACTGGAGTTGAGCATTTTTGGGAATGAGTGCACACAGAAAATTAACAGGCAAAGTTGCAAAATAAATTTTTTCAGAAAGTCATTATTATTTTAAAATGTCTTTTCCTTCTTTCTCTCGTCATCTGGAAATGTTGAGAAAAGAAAACAAAAAATCAAAATGCAAATGAAACAAAGTAGTAATGAAGAAAAAATCATTCATGGTACATTTTGATTGTACATACCTAATCTCTGAACCAGGAGATAGCTTGAAATCTTTCACATTGCATACAAAAATTGTAAGGTTCAAACCTTTTGATTAAATTTTTTATACCGGTGCACTAACCAAAAGTTTGGACACATCAAACGAAATTCTTGTTCAATTTGGGAGCAATTAAGTGCATAAATTAATCAAGAAGATAGAATAAGTTAATAAATGTACCTTTGAATGATAGGTTTAGGTATGAGAGTTTGGAACGCTAGTGCATCGATAGCACTATTGTGAAGAGAACCCTTGAGACAGAGAGGTATGGAAGTTGTATCCCCAACTAAATAGCCGCAAGGGAGTAAATCAGGTACAGGGCTCTCTTTGTAGCGGGTTATTTCTCCCACATGGTAACTCCAAACAGAATCAATGCCGAGTCCCAAACAGCTACCTGGGTCTAGTTTCTCGAGATAATCCTGAAAGAAGAGGTAGCAGTAGACGTCAGCAACAAAATAGAATAAGAAGACAGCTCCAGCCTTTATCTGATAAATAATTTAAACTTTCCTGGAGGATAAATTTCAAGCAAAAATATGAAATCAGGGCAGATTAAACTCATTTAAAAAAAATCTTGATTGAGGTTCATTTTAGATAAAGATCAAATTTGATAAAAGTTGGGACACTTGTCATTTTTAATTGCAAACATTTCCACCATTACTGATAGGGCTAAGAAAGTGAGACAGCTAAGAAATAAAAAACAACTGTACATGCTTTATACCTGAGATTAGAGTAAAATTAGAGTTACTGTGCAACTTCAGAATAGTTCATCACTTTTAATAGACTGGTGTTTGTCATTGGCAGAGGCACTTAAATTTTGAGAAAAATAATTCTTGTTTTTTCTAGCAGTGTGCTATTCATTGGAAGTGGAGCGCCTTGAAAAATACCTTAAAAATCCTACGATGAGGCTCTTTATTTTCTAACTACAGAGACTACAGGGCAAAAAAGATAATACTGTACCTTGAAACAGCGTTTGATCGAGGAATCAAGTGTATCCCATTTCGTTTTGCTACCAACTGTTATGAACCCAATTGATATATCACAGCCTTCTTCGACATATTTATTATAACTACCATGAGCACCTAAATATACAGTAACCATAATCTTCTTCCCCTCGTTTTCACACAGTATCGGATCAACTAAAGTATCTGAAAAATAAGGAAACCTTCATTGGTGGTGTGTTGTACTACATGAACATGATTCAGTAAAAACATGAGAAACAGAATCATAAACAAAACAATTTTTGAGAAATGAACTTTAGTTTCACTGAAATAATCACAGGAATTGTATTCGGGATACTACTTTTTTCTAGGGAAGCTAGTGATCCGCTCTAATTGGTTGCCGTTTAGTATAGTATATCTGTAGAATCATTAGACTAACACACAGGGATCTTATTATTAAGTACTTTAAAGTTTGAGAGTTAAACAATAAGTGTTTCCTGCAGTGAACCGACTAAATAATTCTATAGAACAGGAACAAAATCTTCTCAACCTTTACGTACAAACTAGATGCAATTTTGGAGATGAATACCACCCAATTCATATCCTCCTAACTGGAAGATTCTCTAATTTTTTTTCTAAGCACATGAATTTTCATTTCATTTAATACATAAAAACAAGATAAATCTGCTGAGACATTCAGAACACTTTGAACTAAACCACATGAGTTTTACAAGAAAAAAAAGGGGCAAAAAGTTCTGAGAAATCTGAAAAAAGTACTAATTAATGAATAAATCTGAAGAGTTATACTTTGGCCATTGTGAGAGTTCAAATTTTTAGTAATACAAGCCCTGTCACATCAGAGAAAATATTACTATGAATTGGATAAAAATACAAACCTGTTAGAGGAGCATCTGTAAGATCGCTGAGAGGGAGAGAACTTTGGGATGAAGCAAGTGATTTGCTGGCTACTATCCTCTGTAATCTTTCATTATCTTGTTTTAAATTCAACATTTCATTCTGGAAATAATGCAATGTATCACAATTACTAAATATTCTGGTCATTTTGAGGGAAAATATGGATTTATAAGAGAATAAAAAATAATAATCTCTGTACCTCTCATTTTTAGAGTCATTAATGACTGGCTTGCATCCTAGGAAATTGAGTAGATTTGGTACATTTTACTATGAATGAGCATATCAACGATAAAACTGCAAAAATGCGTATCTTGGTTGCTGTGTGACAAAGTATCTTCTGCTATTTCATTTTCTGAAAAGAGGATTGAACCAACAACATGGCTTGAAATTTTCACATAAAGTTATCAAGAAAAGACGTTTAGTACTTTTTTTTGGAGAGAATAAAATATTGCTGAAAGTCTGCAACATCGCAAATCTAGAAACTCATTTCTGCTGTTCCGCCATCAATATACCCTGCAGGAAAAATTGATGCATTTTTAAATCCAACACCTACACATACAGCTGGATAAAATGTATATTTCAGACATGCAATCTTGGAATAGTCATACAATAGGGACTTATGATGGCATGTACCTAAATTATTTAAAAGCTTTCGCCCTCCACGATAGAGGCCAATAGGACGATTAAAGCGGTTTGAAACTATGATCTTAAAGTGTATAAACTTACTCTCATATTGATGACAGTGTCTTTCAGGGACTCCAACTGGTGGGCGGAACTAAGAGCTTCAAGTCGAATGTCAGTGAGAACTAGGTCCTTTTCCCTCAATTGACGTCGCAGTTCATCTACGATGTCTTGAGTGTTTCGATCACAAAGTCTGAACAAACCAAAAATACCATGTAAAAATGAGAGAAAATCGTCTTTTTTGATCTTTAAGCTAGTTTTGATTGGAAGAAACAAGTAATTTTTTGAAACAATTTTTTTTTAGAAAAAAAAAAACAGAATTTTAAAACAATTTTAGAGATATGCGTTTCATACACTGGTCTTTGAGGAAAATTTTTAAAATACTTTTTTAAAATTTTATTGCTATACAATTTTATATACATTAATTTTTTTTAAAAAAAAAATTTAAATGATAGCAATGGTAGATGCTTACGCAGATGAGGAATGGCTGAGCTTGACATTCTGCTGACATAGATCACCATTCATCATATGTGGTGTGTTGAGGAGTGGTGATGAGGGAACAGAGGTATCATTTGCTTCAGCGTCAGATGTAGATCCGCTACGGGTTTTCTTCGGTCTTGTGAATGCTTTGCTGAAAGAACTTCTCAGCTGGAAATGAAAAATTGGAAATGACAAGTGTTAAATATCGAACAAGAAAGTTTATAAGGTGTGAAAAAATAGCAGCATTTATTTTTTTGAAAATAGAAATATTGATTTTCAGAGGCAATCCTATTATTAAATAACTCCCCTTCTGCCCTTCTAGGAAATTCAAATTCTGATCTATTTGCTAGGAGGAAACAGCAACGGAGTTTCAAAAGGCAACAAATAATGCAATTTTTGCTTCATTGGCACAGATGGTAACTACCAGCATAAAATATTGTAAGTAAGTAACAAACAAGAAAATTACCCATCCTCGTTTTTTCTTCTTTTCTGAATCTGACTGCTGCGTGGAATTCGCTGAAGAGAGGGAGTTGAGACTAGAAACGGAATCCGTGGATAACTGCCGACTGATGGTAGAGCCAGCTGTAAGGAATAAAAAAAGCATTGGATTTAAATTAAAAGAAATATAAAGAAGCACTACTTTATCAACCAAAACCTTTTCTGGCAATTGAGTGATCAGTAGTGAAAACTGTGAAGAAAATAAAAAAATGTAGGGCACGAGGAAAATTGAGAATTTTGACCATCTTGTGAAAAGTTTAGAGTTTTTCACTAAAATGAAAAATAAATTTTAAAGTTGATTTTCAAGGTGTGCCTGAAATTGAATAAATTTTTAAAATGTATTCAAATTCACTCTCACATCCCTCATTTGTGAACAAGGTTGATTTTAAGCTGATTGTTATTTGAACTGAATGACATGATATACCGAGAGTAAGAAAATCGAACCTGTTGTATTGATGGTGTGTCTCCGTGCAAGAGAAGGAGACATACTACCTGGAGTAATTCCATTAGTATGACCTTGCTTGCTGAGGCGTTCGATGGTTTGCCTTAGCTCGTGTAATTCTGAATCCTGTAAAAAAAAAAAATTAAACATTTAATTTGGATTCATGAGTTACATAAAAGCCAACGATACATTTTAAAACCAACACTGTCTGTTTAATTTAAGTAGTAGCCAGGGCCGGATTTTCCTACTTGCCGCCCATGGGCCGCCTGTAATTTGCCGCCCCCTTCTCATTCGTTTTGAAGCATCAATAAAAACCATCAAATGAACGTGCCAGGGGGGGGGGGGTGCATAAGACGCGTTTACTCGTGTTGAACACATTTTTTGGGAAAGCCCTGTCAACACAACTAGCAAAAGGTCACGGAACTTTGCGCGAGAGTAAAGTTTCGTAAACCTATCTCTAATGGACAAGGCCTTCCATTCATAAGAAATGAACGAAAAAATTATGAAAGAACAAACACAAAATTTGGTTTAATGATTTTAACATCCGCCGCCGCGCCGCGCGCCGACCGCGCCGTGTTTAGCGCAATGCGTGAAGTATTCACACAGTCTCGTAGGCGCTATGCGTTTCACGCTGACCGCACTGTGTTTGGCGCAATGCGTGGAGTATTCATGCATTTGTTGGCGCTATCCGTTTCACGCCTACCACAATGACTGCGCCGTGTTTGATGCAATGTGTGAAGTATTCGTGTAGTCTTGTAGGCGCTAATATGTGTTACATGCCGATTGCCGCGCCGAGGGCTTCTCCTTTTCATCTCAAGTCCTCGTCATCATTTCTCCCTAAGTCGCGTCAGTTCCAGGTCAAATTGTGTGTTAGGTTTCTCTCTTAACTCGACTAACTAAAGGTGCTGTCTCTTGTAGCACTGAAAGACGACAAAATTAGAAATTACTGTACTCTCAGGAAATGAGAGATTTTGTAGCCTTTTCTCGTTTGTGATTTTTTTTTTTCTAAATCCGATTTTTTTTATACCTATACATTTAAAAAAAATTGCAGAATTTGCTGTCCCCTAGATTTGCCGCCACGGGCCGCGGCCCATGTGGCCACCCCCTCAATCCGGCCCTGGTAGTATAGCAGGATCTTCGTGATTCTGCGAAGGATCTCGCTCTTCTATCACTATTTATACAATTTTTACTCAAATAATTACCTACGAGAAGTTACTATTTTGAGCTGCAAACTGATGGTTGAAACTATTTTGGCTGTCGGCAAGATAATACCTGAAACAGCCTTATCTAAGCTGTATAATCCATCAATTTTTTATGTCTTGTCGTGTCGACATAAATTTCAACAATACGTCGCAGGCATATGGAAGCGCAAATTTCGTGAGGGAGAAACGGATTTACATCATAAAGAATGACTTTTCCCTTTGACGTCATCTCAGTAAGAGTAACACTTCGTAACGTCAAGTTTCGAAGTTTCTTTTCGAGTGTTAACGCAATAACGGCTCCAGCAAGTTAAAATAGTTGCCTGATGAAGGCAAAAAATAACTGTTGGTTGTATAGAGCATGATTTTACATTACACGGTCCGCCTTCATTTTGACAGGTAAGCTAAAAACATCTCATTCGCTTCGAAATGATTGCCTACTCATTCGAAAAGAAGGCGAAAACTACCGGTATCATAAATCATTGTTGGAGTAAAGTACGTGGAGTCTCCTTCATTTTGAAGGGTTAGGCAAAAACTGCTCATGGTACGAATTAAAATGATCGTATCATCCGATGCTGCTGACCTAGACGTGCGTTAAATGAGTAACACTGACACTGTCCACTATTGTCATGTTTCCAGGTAATGATGTCTTTGACTTAATATATTACTTGTACAAAATTTCAGACGTATTTCTCTGGCTCCTTTCGAAGGCGTTAAAATGAGCATGAAATATGAAAATAAAAAAAAAGCCGTAGATCTAGGCAAACAACCTCTTACCTTTTTCTCGGTTGTTGCTGTCAACTGCTGAAGCCTTTGCGTCATGTTCGACAGAGACTGCTCGAAGGCGGATACCACATGAGCCTGAAACAAACCAAAAAGAAATTTCATTTAAAACTTACTCACACAGTCAACATTGTTCAGAGGTATAGATGTACCAAAACAAGAAAAGAAAATTGATGAAAATTCAATTTCTCCGACACGGCAACATTTACCAGATGGGGTCATTGACTCCTCTGCTTTTCAGAGTGCTTCGTACATGACGTCACACACCATACGAACATACATTCGTCATGTATTTTCGGTTCTATCGACGGCTTCCAACAACGGACACGTTGTACCGAACGGTAAATTATCGTCCCGGCGTTCCTGCAAGGAATTACAATAAGAGCTACCAACCGGCTACCTGACCGCAGCGACGAAGGAGTCAGCCGCAGGAATCGCTTTACCTGCCGCACTATGGTCCCAATCCGCTCGGGAGCGCTCAAAAATCGATATTTATGAAATTGGACGACATTTTTTTTTCGAGTCAAAATTGATAAATATAGTATCTACGGGTCATAAACTACACGTAGTATACCTCAAAAAATTTTCTAGTCACTTTGAAAGTGTCACAAACTGTGCGAATAGTCGGATATGTATTTTCTGACCCGTGAAGTGGCTATTTCTAACAAAGCGTTCGGAGCCTCTCCTGAATCATGAAATGGTCTCTCAGAATTCTTGCTTATACCATTTTGTAGAGGACTCTAAGAGGATTGTAACGCACTAATTACAATTTTTCTCCGAGGCATTCTGATACATTCTACACAAGGTAGAAGTTGGGTACCTATTTTTCATGAAAAAATGCCGATTTTTCCCACGTACTTTCATTTTAAAAAAAAGTCACCAAAGGTCACCTAATGAGACACCTTTAGGGAGCTTCTACACATCCTTGGGAAACTACAGTAGAAATATTTCGTGCTTTGGTTTGCTTTTTCTCGAGAAATCGAATTTATTAGGTCTCTAAGTCGGTGGATAAAATAACGGTATTTATGCAAGTTTAGCCATCGATCAATCTGCAGTCGTCTTAAACTTTTTTGAGACATGCGACACCTCCAAAAACGTGCTTAAGTAGTCTCTATGAATCCTTTAGAAGGATTTTAAACCAAAAATTGTTGGTTCTTCTTGCTTTTTGAACGAATTTTGAATCTTTTTCGTACCTGCGTGTTTCCTTCAAAATACTGTAATAAAACCCTGGAAAGCCCCTCGAAAAATATTCTGAGACATTTGGCACCTCCAGAGACACTTTTAAGTCGTTTCTACAGATCCTTAGGAAGGCAACCGAACCAAAAAAAATTGCTTCCGCCTGCTTTTTCGACCA